AACGTCTGATATGTCTAGACATGCAGATATATGCAAGTCGACTTTACTAAATCGTGACGTCATTTTCATTCCCAAATCAGGACTAAATGGTTTGATTGGTCAATTCGAATGCAGTGCTTTGTAATACAACAACAGCCGGGCGCATTATCGCGTAACATGATACAGATCGCGTGACACAGGTTTTTATTATCAATTGTCTATGTCGTGCAACGGGTGAAAGACCGAAGACCGGACATAGAAAGCGCTCGTCAAGAGGCGGTTGTCTTGCCTAATTAATCAGCGAATCTGCTCACATATCATAGTGGCGGCCGCTTGACAAAAAAATATTTTCACACGTACAAAAACATATTTTCAGACTTATTAAGTGGCACTATCCGTACTGTCCTGATCCTTACACCATTAGAAAGTAAGTCATTTGATCGCGAACAGCTTCTTTCGAGATCGAGTGCGGCGAAGTTGATCATATCGTCACCGACACCACGAAGTAACACTCATGTACATACCAGTAAAAACTAGCAATCGGAGAAAACGGCATCTGAAGTTGAACGCCTTCTAAAACAGCACTTTGCGTCAAAACTGCAGAGTATTTTTAGTTGGGTTTCTCGTTGTGGACACTTGGTGTATTGATGTCATTAAATTTGCTGTTTTTGACCAGTTTGTGTATTAAAACAACAAGAAATAAGGAAAAAAAAATGAGTGCTAGTTCCTGAAACCAAAAAAGCTGCGAAACTGTAAATTTTCGTTTTCACGCTTCAATGCATTACAACACTAGAAGAGTGTTATTTCGTGGAAACGGAGGTCAGCGCGCGCGCGCTCAAATAAGAAGAGTGTTACTTCGTGAAAACATTTTTGCTTGCATTTGAGAAGAGTGCGCGCCATGCACTACAATGGTACATGGAACTTGAGTGTTACTTCGTGAAAACGAAAATTGTCACTTTCGCGCAAAAGTTGCCATGGTAATTAGCGTAATTATTAAAGTAAAGCTCTTGAAGATTTGAAACTTCGTGCAATGGTAGGCCTTGATGAATAATGTTTAAAAATGTTAAAAACTGAAAACGTGACGATATCTATGTTTCCACCCCGTCGCTTCATGATTGTTCGGAAAATATGACGGCGGGAACCAGTTCATGCATACCCTTGTTCCCGACTCTCCACTGTCGTTCGAACTGCACTTGTACATGCAATTACAAACAAGAACCATTATCATAATCGATATCACGCGCGCGGTAATGAAATCGCGCTCGATATACATTGTATAGACGATCATTTTTTGAGCAGCACGCATTGGACGTGACCGCCACGACGACACTGCCTTGCTATTCAAACAAATCGGGAGTTTAACGTGTACACGAACACAAGGGGAGCTCTCAGAAAAGAAATGGTAGACAATTTCACATTCCACCCTTATCCTAAGTCAACATTATTAATTTCATCTTAATACTCGATCTCGCCCGGATCCGGAGGTGGCGTATTTGGTAGTTTATGGTAGGTTTTCAGGCAAATTTCTGTCGCGTTGCCAGTAATCAGTGGTAGATTTTTCGGAAAATATTAAACCAGCGTCTAATTCTGCTAATTAACCCCAGCTCAAGGCGAGTTTCCGATGTCATGAACATTAGAATGGAGTTTCCCAAGCTAATGTACGCTGTGCATTTGTTTTGGTCAATGTCTGTATATATTGTGGAGGGAACTCCCCGGGCCAACCCAAGTCTGGGAAGACAATCTTCTCACACAAAAGCTCTTCCCTAGACGAGAGATCAATAAGAGCGACCTTCAAGGCTAAGGGTGCAGGTCCGTTTTGGTGGAAATCTACCGCCCGATTGTAAATGATTGTTAATTACCCTGTTAATTACACAACGAATCTGTAACAAAGACACCTGAAACAGAATCGTCGGTAACCTCAAGCAAAAATGATAATTTATTCAACAGTAATCAATAAATGTACAGTAAGTGGAATTAATAGGCGTGGTTGTTTTATTATCTGGGTCCTTTAACTATTACATAGATGAGCCAAACCTACTGCCCGCAGCAGCAATGCAATAGCATTCAACAGCAACAATGCCAGCAATGCACCGCAATGCCAGCAATGCACCGCAATGCCAGCAATGCACCGCAATGCCAGCAATGCACCGCAATGCCAGCAATGCACCGCAATGCCAGCAATGCTTTACAATGTCTACAATGCGCCCAAGCGTCAGCAGTGTACAACCGCACATGCAATGTACATGTACAACAGCGTAAACAATGTACAGCAGTATAAGCAATGTACAATAGAAAAGCCTTGTACCCGCCAGTCAGCCACTCAGCAACGTACAGCTAAGACAGCCTTGTACTTGCAACACATTAGCTATTCATGCCAACGTAACACCAGCACAGCTCATACGACGATGTACAAATCGCGCATAAGCATTTCCCAAAACGCAGCTAGTAATTTACCTCCTGTCCGCTCGCTGTCCGCAACACAACTCCGCCCGTACTGTAATCACGTGAGTGGCCCTCGCGTTATGAAGTACTTCGCGCATCACCGCTGTTCGTGTACATGCCTAAACCATGCAATGCACTACCCTATGCGCCTTTGACAACCAATCATGTACCAACAGCAACTCACGGAGAGCTAAGCTCCGCCCAGTCACCTACATAGCCTTGCGCATTCACAACGCGCAATGGAAATACACTGGCATTGGGTCAACAAACTTCCCCAGTCACGCGCACACAGTACACCAACACTAATGTAATACATATTAATGACGTAGAGAATAAACTGGCTCTAAGTCCACACACTTTCCGTCACAATATGTGCCGTGCACCCACTGATGGTCGCGCCGCATAATTGGGGTCAAGATGGCAGTAGATCACATTTTGTTTGTTTGTTTGTATGTGTTATCGCTGGGGAAGAAAGACTGGGATCATCACTATAACAAAACAAAGAAAATATTTATTTCTACGAGATCACCTAATACTTTTGTTTTATTAAATTGAACTCAATACTTTTGTTCCGGTAAGTTCCGATTAACTCCTCCCCACTGAAACACACAATAAGTTTATAAAGGGTCATTATTTCAGTCTTATGGATAAGTGTATCTTACAAGAGAAAACGAAAAATCGTTAAGTAACATGCAGTGTATGAAGTAATTCTTCTAGTGCGTGCTATTGACCAAATTAAAAAAAAAGTACGGTGCAATAAACTTTTGGTGCAACGTACGTGAATTCCACATATACATGTGCGTGCAGGAACACACCTGCTCTCACGATTTTTTTTTTTACAGCATTACAATTTCTTGTTACAGACTAATATAATCTGGTGAACAAGTACAAGTAAAAATTAATAAACCGATCTATTAAGCCCAGCCCCAAGGTGCATTGACCAATCACAATCTCGATTGATGTCCGACGTGCGTGTACAAAAGTCCGACATGTGTGCAAGTGCGTATGACGCGCGCGGCTAGGCAGGAACATCACGCAGAGTGCCATTGGAGAGGCGCCCGTGTTGCTGCCCACGTGCACAGTGGGCGGGGCCTATATAGATTTGTCAATTATCAATCACAAGTCATACCAGGACAATCACAACCGTCTTTTCAACTTCTTCACCCTATGAATAGTCTGGTTCCCAGACCAAAAGATTCTGACTATTCCTGATGAATCTTAGGTCCGGTAGCCGGTAATACATTGTATTACAATTAACGTCACGTGACTAAAACGGGAGGAATTCCTCCTTTTTCCGAAAATTTCCGAAGTTTGCCGAATTCGTTTCGTCGACAATCGGATAGCGCCCGAGTATTTCCGAGTATAATATAGGTTTAATTTACTGCTAATTGCTCGTTAAAATGTTTTTAAATGAGTTGATAATTAATTTTCATTGCTTTCATTTAGAAAACTTGAAATTCAACGACGATTTTGTGCATCAAATATACTCGGATCGTATGGGCGAACTTTTTGCTGCGTCATGTACAATTTTTGAATTTGACGACCGTTACCGAGATTTTCCAAAACTCGGTCTTCATTCGGCTCCGCCTGCTAACAGTGCTATTTGGGTGCCTAATTTTGAAGATTCCAGATCAACATTAGTCAATGTTATCTTTACAGAAACATCAAACTGTATTATCATAACTGTATGATATTACGAAGCAAGTGATTTATTCAAAAATTTGATCAGAACATTAAAAGCTAAAAGTGATAAAAGCGAAATCGGCAACGAAACCGAGCTTTGAAAAAGGGCCATCAATGTCGTCATGTTTATTTTTAGCCACGGAGGCTGCCTGACCTAAGATTTATCAGGAATAGTCAGAATCTTTTGGTCTGGGAACCAGACTACCCTATGAACAGACTTGTGTATGTATGCTTGTGACCAAACCATCATTAAGTACCTTGACTACGACACTGCATAAAGAGGGTTGGGGTGTACTACTATCTCCGGTAGGAGTGCATGTAATTCAAGTCAGTTTAAATAACCACCACAAAAAGAACGAGACTAAAATCAAGCCGAACTGTTACTAAAAGAAATGGTTGATATCCATTAATTATTATAACACCTCACCCACAGATTCTGTGTCTTGATTGGCCGAGAGCGAGCCACATGTTACTTTCTAATTTTGCTATCTTTCTGTGCACGGCCAAAAGTACTATGCGCATAGCAACCAAAGTACTATACCATATTAGCAACCAAAGTACTATTTCCACGGCGCGGTATTTGTGTGCAAATGCATGCTGGTGTGCGCGTTGCGCGTTGTGCGTAGCGCGTATTATTCCAAAGAGAGTTCGCCGCAGACTTGGGTTCAAACATTTCGTGAAGGGGTAGTTTTTAAGAGAGAAATACATTTTCCACCAATTTTGTATTGAAATTGAAGTTTATTTCAGCTGTGTTCAGATTTAAATAATTTAAAATATTAAAATCAAGCAGAATCTGTGGGTAAAGTGTTATAAAACAAATATTGAATGTTTTATCTCGTGGTAGAGTAAAACTAGCCTCCCTCGGTGATCCATGGATCACCTCGGGAGGCTAGTTTTACTACACCACTCGAAGCATTCAATATTTGTATACTATTTTGTTTTACGTAGGTCAATTAAGGCGGCACCCGAGCAACTCCAATCGCAACACGACGTTCTCAACCCAGGCTAAGGGTTCAATGCGCACTTTGGTTGCCATGAGTCTGTGGCTGAAGTGGTTGGTGACTGGTGCGCGTGGATTGTTCCGCTTGTTACCATCGAACACCTGAACGAAGGAAAAGGAGATTTGTCTTGTAGTTACATAGAATGCACCCTAGTTCAACCATCGTCGACAAACGTGCGTTTGATGCATGCAGCCCGCGTCGTTCATCGACAAACGTGCGTTTGATGCATGCAGCCTGCGTCGTTCATCGACAAACGTGCGTTTGATGCATGCAGCCCGCGTCGTTCATCGACAAACGTGCGTTTGATGTATGCAGCCCGCGTCGTTCATCGACAAACGTGCGTTTGATGCACGCGTTTCGCATCGGATATACATGAATAGTGGAACTGTGATTAACCATTTAACCTTATTACACAAGTACGAACGATTAGCCATCACGTAAATCGAACGCATCCATTGTAAACGAGTCATTCTCAAGCATCTTTCTTTGTGCATTTTAAAAAATCTTGCATCAGTTTGGTTTATAATATGACTTTACTTATGTTGGTTTTGATTGTCTTTTGTTTGTGTGTCTGGCTGTTTCTGTCCTTTTGTTCTTGTTATAACGTTGTATTATGTCGAGACTGTTCCACCTACAAGCCTTGGCTCATGTGAACAGCCTTGAACTCTCCTATAATACTCTGTTCTTAATTTCTCTTTCTATTAATCTTAATTTAAATAATTAGCTTCTCAGCATTATTTTGTTTCTGGTGGTAATTACCTTCATATTTTTGTTCCCCGTTTATTGAAGTATCACTGTATTATACTTATATTATCCAACTTTGTATTTGTTTATTGGAGAGTTCTTAATAAATGTCAACTGAATTGAATTGAAAAAAGTCAAATTTTTGAGTCAAGTCATGAACAAACTATTCAAACGAGCTCTGACAGGAACATTATTTTTCTTACATTGTTTCTAAAAATACGTTTTTAAAACCATTCAACGTCCCATACCTTGGTGAATCCATCTTCATCTTTGACATATTTGTAGCCCGAGGAATGAGACGACTGGTATCTCACCCTGTACTTTGTCACGCATCTATGGCTGTATGTGGAGCCTTGGGTAATGACACCAGACACCACGGTGGGGTCATGCAGGTCCACCTCGATCCAGGAATTTTGGGAGCTGCAAGGACAAGAAGGAGGTAAACTGAAATAATAAAACAAATTCTGACTCGAGTCTCAAGTAATACTTCAACCAGTCTATTGGGTTTATCAAGTCGTATTGGGGATGAACCGCAGGCATATTATATAAATATAACATAGTTTGAGGGTGGACAGTCGATATTAGCTCCCCTTGGTAATACCTCGGGAGCTAATATCGACTGTCCATCCGAAATAAACCATATTACATTTGTTTTACTATACCTCATTCAGCTGCCGGTTTTTTTTTCGTTGCAGTATGCCCCTAAAACAAAATCTTTGGAGAAACTTGTCCAGCTCATCAAAACAATATTATTTCTCAACTTCACCAGTGTAGTTCGTAATACAGTAGTTCGAGGACAACTTTCTTTTTTTGTACATGAGGCATCTTAATTGTCCATAAATATTTTCCAGTTCGGCATCATTGAGCTCGGGAAAATTAACTTAATTTTACGCGTACCGTGCAACCATGGAGGAATAAGAACACATATTCTTCCATGGTGCAACCAAACCTCCCAATACGCTTATCAGTACATTTAATTGTAGTTAGTATTGAATAACATTTTGGAACAAATGTTATTGTGACATAGTTCTTTATAACAAAAATGTTAGTAAACAATTGAAAAAACCTCACATGTGGCCGTCTCCAGAAGAATGTGAACCATTAACTCGCACACGTTTGTTTATGGTGTTAATCGAGGATTTTCTTTTGTTCCTCTTCCCTTTTTCTTTGCTAATTGTACTCTAACTTTTTAGCAACAGCTCTCATTGGTTTTGTGCACACGTTTTGCAACTGGAGGAGTCCTCGATTCGGTTTCTGTCCTCGATTCATCGATGATGTTGCACGTGTGTGTCCTCGATTTACACCATAAACACTCACATAAGTGTGTGTTTGCCTGCAATCGAGGACCCCCTATTGTACCTCTGTTGTTTGTACTAACTTTTTAGGAAGACCTCCCATATGTTTTGTACACGAATCCAAATAGGGGACCACTCGGGAATTTTGGACCTTATTGTCCTACTGTTCAACGTCCCCTATTTAATGCACAAGCAAACTCACCCACACTTGTTTCACATGACTAGTGTGGATTTTCCATTGCTTTCGTGTAGTTAAGAAAAACCAGTGAAAAAACTCATTTTTCTCAAACTGTGAAAACTCTTTCAACCCAATTTTTTTTCTATGATTCCCTTTAGTGTTTCTCTTCATTCTGCTACAGATAAACCTAACCCAAAAATGCCTCTAAACCTGTTTTCCAGAAATGGGGAAACACTGTGTGGACGTGGGGTAAGTCCACACAACGTCGGTGCTACCTACATTATGTGGATGTCTTTTGTTCGGAAGTCCACACTGCGTATGTAAGACAAGCTCACACATACACACACCTTTTGGCCGCCCAGGAACTACCGTGGTTGTTCAGTCGCGCATATGCTGCTAGGTATTCCTCAGAGAAGATTGATGACGCTCTTATCCGGTCATCAGGGATGGTGCCGTCTTCAAGTCCCAAGGGCTCCGAGGTCACACATCCACCTGCTGAAACTGAAATGTAGGTCTACCGAATTGCTATGACTATAGTGCAGTACCCGTTGAAAATGTGCATGTTAGGGCAGGGGCAATTTGCTTGACGTGTGGTTTTGCTTGCGTGCAGCTTTGTTGAGAACTGCTCATCCAAGGAAGTTGACACTTCCAGGCGTAATTTCATGCGGTATACATTTCTGAAGGTTATTAAAGGTTCACATGACAAAGCTGTTTCTTGGGTCATTGTTTATTTACCCATTGTTGATAATGGAATAGCCCCCCCCCCACCTGTGAAGGTGAGGAAGTGCATTGAGCTGTGAGGCCCACCCGTGCGACCACGGTACCACACATGCACACGAACATACAGGCTAAATCTTTTATGAGACAAACGGGGCCCAACGTTTCCATAATGCGGTGTGTACTGCCACCGTGACGTATATAGGCCTCCGGTATGGCTTCTTTTTTTCAGCTTTTTCGAGAACCGCTCATCCAAACCAACTTTAAACTTGACACGTCACATTCTGGGGTCCCTAGCAATATACCTGCCGATTTTCAACTTTATACAGTGCCAGGGTCTGGAGATCATCGTAGTACAGACAGACAGACAGCCAGAGAGCCCGACAGACACACAGACACACGGAGATTCCTTGAACTACAGTGTGTTTAAAAAAAGAAAAAAAAGAAAAGAAAAAGGAAAACAAAATACAAGTACATCAGATGACGACAAAATTGAATGTAGCTTAAATAGCTACCTGAAGAAGCAATTAGCGGATGTCATTCATTATTTCAGCGCTTTGCGCGTAGGATATAATGAAATATAAAGTATCTTGGAAGGTCAAATAGACTCGCAAGTGAAGCCACAGTATATAATTTAAGACACGGTAAAAAAGACACATGAAATTTTAAGCATCACGGGTGATTAACTCATGATTTCAACGCTGGTCGCTTTCCCTGCATGTAATAAACAATGAAGAATAAAATACTACATGAAGGCCACACAGTGTGCAGACTATGAAGTGAGTGCAATTTCGTGTATACAACTGTGTATCCAAAAAAATGCAAAAGAAATATAACGGAATGCCAGACGTAGAATGTGTAACCATATAATAATATAGGTATGGTTTGAAAGACACACCTTTCCACTTTAAAATGAGACATCAAACGTCCAAATCGGATAATTGTTGACACAGTAATGAGTAATTCTCCAAGAGAGGTCAAATTGAAAGGTGGATCTTTCAAACCATATATTATCTATGTTGGTTTGGTTACACAATCTGCATTTGGCAGTCGGTTGAATTTTGTTTGCATTTTGTTTTGATACACACTGTATAGTAAGATTGGGCTTTCGTATTAAAATAAAGACTGACGTCGTGAGGGGGATAGATAATAGGCAAATAGGAAAAAGTGAGTGCCTCATTCAAAAGCATATTTTTTTGTAAGGGCAAATCTGCGATGAGCCTATAGCCAAATATCTTTTCCGTGACATACTCTGACTGTGTGCCAAATTTCATGCTTTTGTCATCAAATGAACAATTCCATCATATTGTGCACCACTTGAATCTGCCTGACTTGTATATAATTATATGTAGGGTAATCGCAATAATTTGTTTTTAGAAAGTATCAGTTGAAAAATCGCGAACAGTAGTCGGGCATGGCCTTTATTTGACCTAAGACATGCGGATAAAATATCTTAATGGGAAAGAACACCCGGTCTGGGTGGAAACCTTTTACCAGGGTATTCTGTCCCCCAGGCGGTTTGCTGTATAGAGGACGAAAACTACGGCCATTATTTTGACCAAATGAAGACTGGTTCCCTTGACACACTTTATGGGAGTGGGAACCATAGACAAAGTGACGTTTTCTCAACAAAATGCGCCACCAAGCGTTTGGACCGATTTTCTTCAACCTGACAAAACCAAACGTTTCTGAAGGGGGGGGGGGGTGTGTTAGTATTTGAAATTCAGTCACGAGGTACATCAGAGAGAAGTAACCCCAAAACTGCTGAGTCGATGTGTCGTCTAGAACAAAAGAATAGTTTTGGTATCGTCTTGAATGGATGACGATTTCCCCCCTAAGATGTAGGCCTCCGGTGAGAAAATGGCTTTCACTGGGCTCTTGGAGGCGCACTGCACTGCACTTTATTTATATAGGCCTATATATTTTTTTCATATGAAAATCAGTCGAGTTTTCCAATTTGAACGATAAATTATGCGAGTAGCCCCGTATTGCATGACCAACTAATCGGCAAGGATATTGGTTTAAGAAGAGGAAGTCTAAACCTTACCCGGGCAATTGAAGACCGCCTGTATTTCTTTTGGGTCCTCACTTAGGATGAGATGATCCAGATAGTAGGGCGCCCCCTGGCGGTATGACGAAGCAGGGATGCGCATCCCGCCGAGACGAATAGCGGTGCAATTGCATGGATCTTTGTACGGTAGGAACCAACGGGGTGGGATACCAGATTGTGGGTTGTACTCCGATCCGATGAAGCAGACTTGATGGCATGACACGAACACTGTGCACGTAAAATAACGATTGATTTTCTCACAAGTTATATGATTTCTATTTTTATTCCAATTAGTGTACTATCGTTGATGGTACCCTTTTTATATGCTGAAAACAAGATCTGTAGCATTCTATTAAGACATAAATGCATTCCTCACGAAATTTGAAATTTATTACCTTCCAAATCATTTTCTTACACTGATTCCGGAAAGTAGCATTACCTGTGCAATTTTTCCTATTGATTTTTTTTATTATACCCTTACCACCTGGGCCCCCACACATTTTGTGGATTGCACGTCAATGTTTTAAAGGTGAACTGTCGGCGCTATTTTTGAGCATCTTCCCTAAAAAATGAGGTTTTTTATTGCTTGTTTGCTAGTGTAACAAAAGTTATTTAATTTTGAATGGGATATCGAACGAAAACATCCGGCAACGTTTAGTTTTGAAGATATTATTTAAACAAATTTCCAATTATTTGCGGCCCGATAATAAAATGTGCACCTTTTCCCCCAGTGAGTTGAAGACGCTCAAAATATGCAAATAAACAGGTTTTCTTTTTCGCTAAAATGAATCAATTAGTAGAAAATATATTGAGGGAAAATTATCGAATTTGTTGTTGGGCACGGACAACATTATATTTGTTAAAAGGCATAAAAAGGATCATTTGCATTTATCCTAAAATTAACCTTATCAAACAGCTATTTGGATTGAAGATTGTAATGGTACTAAACAACCTGTGAAATTATTGCGACTGGCTTGCCTTCATTTAAAAGGAATCAAGAAAACATTGTAGGTGATTTCCAACAACGGAGTCATTGACTGGTATTTGAAATAAAGAGCGCTATGCACGACATCATGTTCGTGTGCATGACTTTTCACTGTGTACTCGCAAACCGTAATATCCACTGAATCTGAGCTGAAACTTCAACAGGTTAGGTTTTGACCATTCTTCTTTGGATTTTGAGTGGTGGTATTAAACGAAAAACATGCCTTGAATGCAAATGATTCTATTTGCTTTTAAACGCTAAAATCTCTATCTTACCTGTCAGTGTTGCTGTCATCAGAACTGGCAAAAGGATCCCATCCATCTTCGCGAATGAAGCTGATAGAAGTGGTTATTAGCAGTCAGTGCTCGCTTCTTCTGCCCTCCGCAGAATCATATGGCTGACGTAATTTTAAGCCAATCAGCGACGAGAATACCTTCTACGTAGACGGTAAGCCTGATTGGTTGAATCCTACATAGCTGGGCGGAACAATCTTCATCCAAGCGTTATCGATTTTACGAAACCGACTCATTAAGCTTATTATTTGGCTATAACACTCTACCTAATCTCTCATCTCTATTGAAATGAAAAATGACATTGAAATTCTCCCTAAAATTAGCGAGACGCTTGATTAAAAAGTGACCATACTACTTTTATTTTGCCTTGGCAAGTACATCGGATGAGGACACAATTGAAGACGCGCTTAAATAGCTACCTGAAGAAGCACTTAGCGGATATCATTAATTATTTCAGCGCTTTTCGCGTAGGATATAATGAAATATAAATTATATTGGAAGGTCAAATAGACGCGCAAGTGAAGCCATATATAAACACCGGATAATAATATTACTCAATTTAAGACACGCTAAAGAAAACACATGAAATTTTAAGCATCACGGGTGATTAATTCATGATTTCAACTCTGGTCGCTATCCTCGCATGTAATAAACACTGAAGAATAAAATGCTACAAGAAGGCCCCCAGTGTGCAAACTATGTGTGCAATTTCGTGTATATTGTGTGTATAAAAAAATGTAAACAAAATATAACGGAATGCCAGACGTAGAATGTGTAACCAGCATAGATAATACAGGTATGGTTTGAAAGATAGGCCTGTCCACTTTAAAATGAGACATCAAACGTCCAAATCTAATAATTTTTGACAGAGTTATGAGTAATTTTCCAAGGGAGGACAAATTGACCATGGGACCAAGTTTTTAATGTTAGGCATTGGGACAAAGGTAGCCTAATTGCCTCTCTGTGCTTATTTGCCTGGCCCACAAAAAACATGCGTTTAGCAATGGATGATGCTAAAAATGTTAAGCATGTAAACATGTTTACAAACTGATAGCAAGAAAGTGTTTAGAATTGTGTTTACTCGCTAAACACATTTTGTGTAGGCTAGGCAATTATCCACACAGAGGCAATGAGGCTACCTTCATCCCAATGCCTAAAATTGAAAACTTGGTCCCATGGTCAATTTGACCTCTCTTGGAAAATTACTCATTAACTCTGTCAAACTTTATCAGATTTGGACGTTAGATGTCTCATTTTAAAGTGGACAGCAGGCGTATCTTTGACACCAGACCTATATTATCTATGTTGGTTACACATTCTACGTCTGGCATTCCGTTATATTTTGTTTGCATTTTTTTGTTCATTTGTCCTCCTGGTTAGTGTTGGGACCTCAGTTTTCTCAAATAAATTCATGGATCACAATTTAATTCTCTGAAACAAATCAGTGTGGGCTAATCGGCACTTTTGGGCATCGGCTGCACTTAGCCAAAGAATTTCAGGTGCGAGGCATTTTCGGCCACATTTTGATACACACCGTATAGGCCCAAAATACGCTTGTCATTTGGGGAAACACCATTTGATAGACTCTTCCGGCCGAGTATGGAATATATCGGCTTTAAATTTTAACTCTATATTGAAAACAGCAAAGACGGTAGATCTCGGACGAAAAATACATCATATCTTCATCTCACTTTATTCCTATGAAAACATTAAAACTCTCCCAATGGTGTACTGTATAGGCCCTACATTGTCAAAATGAAGTGAAATTACCGAAAATATGTATTTTGCACTTCACGTCCTTTATATATGATTCTCCCATTTGTGATGTAACTACACCAGATTGTCATTAAACGTGTGCATAGTGAAAAATATTATGCAGCATTAAATCTTTGGTGGCGGAGGAGAACACAGTCTATAGCATTATTGGCTGAGGCCTATGCATGTAGAACTACATGTCACATTCTCCAAGAAAAATAAAATGTTTTATCTAGAATAATAGTTTCATTATACATTGACCGTTATAAAAGCATCTTGATATAGCATTATCTCGTATTTAGACATATCGATGGCATTATGCGTCTTAGATGTATATTCTAATGCCAATTAATCAAAATTAAATTTTGAACAGAACGTCTAAACTACAGATCATTGTATGGTAAATTTACGGCTAGATTACATGAAGAGAGTATGACAAATTTCACATTTAATCTTGGAATAGTTCTTCCACATTATTAAGCCTAAAGCAAACTGAAAACAATGCTAGATTAAGAACAGAAATTAGGAATCAATGTTAGGTTTGGCCCTTCAAGGAACAGGGAACAATGTTGATTCATCTAATCGTGTAAAACCACAAAAGTGAACTTTACATCATTTCCCAAACTCGAGGCAAACTGAAGAAAGACAAAAACGTCTGAAATCACTCCAAAACCATCGTAACTCTATCGCTTATCTTCAGCTTCATTGCAACTGGTTTATTAGTGACGATAGGCCTGTACGACTGCTTAGACCTCAACGATGGCCTTGCCGGTGTTGGCTCCCGAGAACAGCCCCATGAATGCATCGAACATGTTGTCGAATCCCTTGGTGACGTGCTGTTTGTATTTCAACTTTCCCTGAGAGGATCATAAAAAGAAGGAGTTTACAAAACAACAGTTGTAAAACGATGAACGTGAAGACCATTTACGACATACTGATTAGATAATGGCTTATATGTGGTAAACATGGGCGTCGCAAGGGGGGGGGCAGGCCCCCTGGAAAAGCCAAGGGAAAAAAAGGTACCGGTATTAAAGAAAAAAGGTAGGAAAAAAGAAAAAGACTGAAAAAGAAGACGAGGTGCGAAGTCATATTGCGGTTAACTGAATGCACATTTAGCACAATGGCCGTCCTGGGGTGTCAATGGGGTAGTGTGGGCACATGTCCCTCCGCCCACCCTTGAGAAATGATACATTGAGAATATGCTAGAGAAAGTACAAGGATTTGGGGAAATAATGTGCTTTGCCCCGCTCTAGAAAACAATCCTTGCGACGCCCGTTTATTTTAAAACCGCCCATGCACTACTGGATAGCCCATTAGCTGTTAGACGTGAAGTCATCGTCCGCCATGTTACCACTCCAAGAACAATGGAATTATATTGTAAATCAATCTTTCCTCATTAAACAGCAATCATTACATTTGTATGTTATGTATTCATTTTTTAAACAGTAAATATTAAACTATGACTTTACTTCTTTTTAAATTTTTTTTTATTATAATGTACGATGAGAGTGGTTATACTGGTTCCCGTGCCTTTTTTTCGAATCGAGGGATTTGGAACCAGCGCATAACTTCAAATGTGTGTGTATAGCATGCAATGGCCAATGAGCAATCCATATTTTTAAACATGGAGAGCAGTGGTCCGCGTGCTTTAAGGATTTTGAAATCTGGTACCTAGACTCATAAGCCAAACTGACCTCTGTCATCCACTGGACGTGTTCTTTTATCCATTCAGGGAAGCGGTCTTTGTAGGTGCTAATGATGAAACCTTTCATTGTGATCTCCTTGAAGACTAGGGTTCCATGCACAGCGGGTACTACAAGGGAAGTGAAAACAGTATAGGGGAGACTTCCTAATTGGTTTCGCCAATTTTTTAAAAGAGGTATCGCCCTAACACGAGGCCACTCGAGGCGTGGAATAAAATCTACAATGAACACGAAGGAAGCCATGAGCGCTGTGATCCAATGGTAACGGTTATTCCAAAACTGCAACCATGTGGAGACCCTTTTGTTAGCACAAAAAAAGGGGTTTGCCCCGGTGTTTCTGGCAGTGGCTGCAATATGCGCCGCAGCACCCTGTAAACCATTATAAGGTGCTATATAACGGGTCTCATATTTTTCATAAAAACTTTATTTACGTTTCTTTAATAATAGACATATTTTCTAGCGCCTTGAGTACCTAATTGTAGGTAGATACGTGCGCTATATAAGACTCCGGTATTATTATTATTATTACTATTTTTATTGTATAATACGGAACAAAAGAATGTAAAGGTCTCTAAAAGGACATTTCTAAAGGTGTAAAGGTATCTTCAAGGATTTCACGAAATAGATATATTGATTTTACTCAGAAACTAGTAGTTTCCAAGGTGTACTTATGTTTCGCAAATTAAGGTATTTTATGGACATTTTGTCAAAATTTCGACCCAGGAAAGTAATTCTGGTTCAAATGGGAGCGTTTTAAAAATGACGTTCGAACCCTCTGACCTGTTTGTACACGAGAACAAAGCCATGTCTCCACAAGGATACAAATTTCGGGACGGATGTGCGTTCGACTTTTGTGGATTTGAACCATGACCGGGAACATGATGCCTATACCCTTGGGCAAGACATTTTACTACATTATGTTCTCTCCACCCAGGAGTTAATGGTATACCTGTGAGTGTATAGAGACCAACTGGGGCCAATTTCACGGCGCTGTTCAGCACAAAAAATTGCTTAGCACAAAAAGTCAGGCTTAAAAAAGCAGGTTACGAGCCAAAACTCCATGTGATGTATATTGCTCATGATTAGTATTCAGCTGTTGTTTGCTTGGCATGAAAATCACATGGAGTTTTGGCTGGTACCCTGCTTTTATAGGCCAGACTTTTTTTGTGCTGGGCAAATTTTTGTGCTAAGTAGCGCCGTGAAATTGGGCCCAGTTGATTGCACTGATCTCGAGCTGCTACAGAAAAAATGGTGTCATGGCCCGATGAACAGCAGCAGTAGTTGTAAAGCGCTTTTAGACATTTTGTGTAATGCACTGTAAAAGCAGTGGTTGTTATTATCTCTTTATATCTCATCATATTTTTTTTTCAATATTTCGCCTCCGGAATTGCAATAGAAGATAGATATGTTGGAGCCGAGCGAGTATACTCTAAAGTTCGGTAAAGAAGAACCAGTAAGGGCCACTGGGACAAACACCATGGTGATACTGATAAAAAGAGACTTATTAGAAAATCAACAAAGCGTTGGACGCGACGATAAAGCAGGGGAAACGCCAGGTCCTGACCCACCAGACGTCACAGGCAGCAGGCAACAGGTAACACTGGCACCAGCCCAACTGTACTTGCAATATTCCGTCACAGGACGCACATATCAATCCCAGCACGCTATCCATGTACATTCACTCAATGGCCAAAGCACTGTGCAACCTATTGAGATTATTTGTCATTCGGAGTTGCTTTGTACGATAGCATTCACGTAGACCTCCGAGAATTGGATGAGTCTAAGGAATACTGGAAGTGACTAGACATTGGCCTACTTACACATGAGTGGTTTGGTATCGTTGTACGTCGAGATAGCACCGCAGCAAGAGATGCGTCCGAGTCGTGCCATGTTGCTAAGCACGGTGCTGGAAAATTCTCCACCGACCTGTACAAATATGCAACGAAAGTAACAGAAAACGAGCCACATAGTGAGATGCTGGAGGGCGCACTACATGGCCTAGGGTCATAGAGGTGTATTTAGAAACCCTTTGTGTTGAAGTAGGAGATATGACTGCTGCACCAATGTAAGTACATTGGCATTAACGCTTGATAAATTACAAGCTTCAATATGCGCAGGCAACAACTCGGCGCTCTTAAGGGCAAACAGCACACTCACGTTGTCAAAGTAACAGTCAATGCCGTTGGGAGCGACAGACTTCAATGTGGCGTCCAGATCCTTGATGGTCTTGTAGTTGAAGGCTTCGTCGAATCCAAGCTCCTTCAGCCAGGCCACCTTCTCATCCGAGCCGGCGAAGCCGATGACTTTACAACCCTAACGTCAGAAAATTGAAATGAGAATTCAGACCACTGCACCGAATGTCACCGTGTGGCATAGAACAATTATACCGATTATTGTGGTAGTGAAGTTAGTTGGATTAGACGAACCACATTGACAAATTTAAAAGGACTTTGCACATGTATATTCTTCAGGGGTTTTCGTTTATCAAATTCGAGGTTCATCTATCCCTGTCAGACTCTTAAACTGTATCAGATTTGACCGGAAAAAAATATATACAAATTTGCACTCAGAAGAGATGATAAGCAACTCTGACACTATACATTTTCAAGTGTGCTGTTGCAAAGATAAGGCAGATAATAATACTATCGTTATATTGAATCTTAACTGTCAACACACTTTGTGACAATGCAGGCTGAAAAACTAATACTGGGCAGTTACCTACTGAGATTAGCTCACATCATCCATCTAAGGCCTATACTTTTTACAACAGATTATAATAGCTTAATTTATGCTTGCATTGGCAAGTGCAGTTGGCCTATGTTATCACTGCCTGACAATATAATCATCCTCAGCACTTTAGAGAGTCAGTTGAGTAACAGTGCGTGCATTTTGTTGTAAACTCCACACACTAGATCGGACCTACCTTGATTTTGGCTATTTGTCCCACCACGTTACCGACTGCCCCAGCTGCACCGCTGACCACGGCCACCTCACCAGCCTTGGGCGCACAGATATCAACGAAGCCGTAGTTCGCAGTCATGCTACAACATCCATGAAATAGAAAGGGAAAAATGTACCGACATGCTGCATCAGAAAAAAATAGATGGAAACACTTCCACTTGTGTTAACGAGGAATACCAAATCTAACCCAACTCCCTAGCATGATTTACTAGGAACCATACCCATCCTGGCAAATTTTAACACCATATGGGAAACTGCACACAAGTATTTCTGACTTTGATTCTGGAGGTGTGCCAACCCAATGTAAAAGACTGTCAGTTTAGAGGGTACTGTACCCATCCTGACAGATTCCAACAAAGCACGCCGTTGGAGTTTAATGGGTTGAGTTCTGTTAAACAAAAAGGGGTAGATTCCAAGGAGCTTTCAGAGCACATCAATCTCGTGCTTAGCACATAGCGTATGTGCCAAGCAAAAATGGGTTACCAGCTAAGATGTCATGCCATCTCTATGGCTGGCTACTGGTTCCCAACTGATTTTATGCTCAGCACATAACTTATTTATAGTCATATTTTCTTCCCATCAGCTACATCTTTTTTTGGCGCAGGACTACTGGTTCAGCCTACCATACGTACAAACCATCGCTATAGCAAAATAATAATGGACTAAGAGTTAGAGAACCCGGTAACAAATGATTATCTATCTATCGACTCCTGGTACAAATCCCAGCTTTTGGCTGAAGAAGGCCAAGAGGCCGCCCAAGAAGACCCTGGATTGATCAACTGGGCCGACCAAGCGAGAGAGCGTTGAAACCAAGCTGTTCGACGTGGGCACAGGAGGTGTTTTTTCGGCTGAGTGAGTGAGTGACAAGTAATGATTTAGTGCTTATAAATACAGACACACCGCGGAAATTTTCTGTGCTATTAAACGATGTTTAAAAGGACAGAGTGGTGATCATATTTGCAAACAATGCTGTAGTTCAACAGATTTTAAAAAATCGACCCAGTAGATGATGATGTTTGGTAGTCTTTCCTTCTTCTTACCCGGGCATGCCCAGTGTTCCCAATGCCAGAGATAGCGGCACTCCCTTCGGATAAGGCGGGATCTTGATCAGCTCCTTGCCATCGGATACGGAGTGGCTGACCCAGCCAGCCATGGTCAGCACGTTGGTACCGACCGGGAAATCGGCGTTCTTGCTCTCGGTTACCCTAAATCAAACACCAAACGAAATGGTAAAGGAGAGTCCGCCCCCGGCCAACAATCAGACCGGTGTTTCTATTTAAAAGCCATATATTAAACCATTGAAATTACTTTTATTTACTCCTGGATGCACTCTAAAAAGACTGGGTCAGATTGGACCCGAAGTCTAGGTGAATTTTACCAGGTACTTTACGGGTCAAAATGACCCTTTTCCGGGTCAAAATGACACTTTTCCAGGTCAACAAAACACTTTTCCATGTCTTAAAGACACATTTGCTGGTCAAAATGAGACTTTTCCGGGTTGATATGACACTTTCATGGGTCAAAACGACACTTTTCCGTGTCTAAATGACACTTTAGCGGGTCAAAACGACACTTACGCTGGGCCATCATGACACTTTTCCAGGTCAAAATAACACTTTTCCGGGTCAAAATAGCAATTCCCTGGAGTCAATTCCTGGGTCGTTTTGACCCGTAAACCTTGGCAAGGGTGTCGTTTTGACCCGGAAAAGATTGATGTTGAAATAAAGTATCAGGCCAAACAGAACCCGGATATTCCGTCGAATCTGACCCGTGACTTTTGTAGAGTGTCTGATACCAGTCCATGCAGACTACCCCCAGCATAATGCTGGTACCCATTAACTCCTGGGTAAAGAAGCTTGCTTAAGGACATCAACACAATTAGGCCTATGAGTCAAAGTCCTGACCCTCTGCTCACGAGTCACAAATCATAACCACTATAAATTAAGCCACATTCCTGTTCCTTATAAAGAACATGGTACAATTGTTTTAATTTGGTACCACACAAAGACTATGATCCGAACGAATTTTGTCTAAAAGTAATAGATTGTTGGTCTATGTCACATTTAGAAATGTTGGTGTGCTTTAGAGCCGCAGTCCATCATTACTTTTTGCAGCTATCCATAAAGTAACTAACACATTTATTAGTGGAAAAGCTTACTTGGTTTAAAGTTTCACCGTCAATTAAAGGGATACTTGTGCACTGTGTCTTTAGATTGGTCCATAAAGCAATGAACATGCAGAGAAATGTAATAAAAAGAAAATAGCTCTCTCAAGACAAACCTACTTTGCTATCTGCTGGCCGATCATGGTGATCCCTGCTGGAAATCTAGCTGTGTACGGTCTGTCAAAGGATAAGTAATAATTTTTTTCTTCACATTTGCAAATCATTAGGGACATTGTAATGGCAGATGCTACGATACGGGTATATAAATATTTTTTCTGCTGGAGTGGACATCATCATGTTAGTTAATCAGACAAAATGAGCATTGAATATTGAACTATGTTTGCACGTCTGGTGGTGTCTGCCGCCTGCGGTAGTTCTGTCATCGATCCAAAATTACATTTCGGTGAAAGCATTGACGAAGCGAATACCATGGCTGTAAACCCCACTTAGTTGTGAATTCTTTAAGTTCTTAAATACATTTTTTGGCCGTTTTTGTCAAACCCTAAAATCAACCTGTCTTGTTATTTACACTTGAGATAATTTGGTAACTCGTTGTAAGGTAGACCGCCCAGAGTTGTAACGAGTCACTGAGTGTTTCATATAATGGTTATTGCTTTGCCTTCCACAGGAATTTTGAATTGTTTAAATTAGTGGCTGTGGTGGCTCATTTCCAGTCAGCACACGGAATTGGTTTTTAAACGTGTCAATAACTGAAGTGAGTCAGTCACCATGACTACGTATTTACTTGTTATTACACTGCTTCACATCAGTACAATGGGTAATCATGAAACTTTCACCAAATATGTCCAAAATACCAGCCTATAACATACATGTGTATTTCATTTGCACTTGTTTTGATAATTGCGACCTTCTTATATTTTTTTAATTTGAGTCCAGATCATTCTGACTCACCTTGTAGGGTTCACAATATCTTGAAAATAAGAGGGGATAGGTGTAAGGCATCAGGGGCCGCTAAGCACAGAACATATCTTCTTAAGGTAGAGCAGGTTACCAGCTATCAATTGCTTAACTTTGTATACCGCTTCTGACTGGTTCTCAGCCGATTTCTGCTTAAAAATGAAAGTTGCTTAGCGAAAGTTTCTGCTTAGCGGCTCCATGAAATTGGGTCAAGGTGAAACACAACACTCACCTCATATACGGATCCACACTGAGGTAGACTGCTTCCAACAGAACCGCTGTAGGTACAAGCAACCGCAACATTTGTCATAGTATTGTGACAGTAAGATGAACTCTAAATTGGCTTAGTGACTTTTACTAAGGCAATACATGTGTGCTTGGCTGGTTGTATACACTATATTTAAGACCGGTTGGAGTTTGGATGCTGATAATTACCCGAGCCGGTTGCGACGGTAATTATCAGCATCCAGACTCCAACCGGTCTCAAACAGAGTGTTTAATACCGGCCAATCACATATTTATTCCCATTCATAAATACATTTTTTGGTCAAAATAATCAAAAGTTTTCGATCCGAAAGTCAAAACAAGTTAAAAATTATAAATTTCTAACGATTTTTGTTCCACAATTTTAACTCTTGTTTTTTGAAACACCCCTCTAGCTATGATACGGTATGGCCCTCTCGCGAGAAGTCATAAACAACTCCTTATATGGAGATTGGCGCGCGCGTGCGTGATGTAGCGCGCGCGCGCGTGATGTGGCGCTGAACCAAGCTGTGCCGGTGAAGTTGTCAATTTAGGACTATGAAATACTGACTCAAGTATTGCGCATGCCTACATGAGGATTGTGAACGTTTAACCAATAAAACGGTAAAAGGCACCGGATTTCATAGGAGTCCAAATTTCATGCGACAGTGGAAAAGTGTTTAAGACCAACCAGCCAGTCTTTATCAAGTTTAAAACCGGCCACGTGATGGGCTGTTGACCAATAGGAATCGGTTAACTATCTCAGAAATGTATGATTTTTTTTTCAAGGATCTAAATATCTTCAAAACAAAACCCGCAAAACAAACATCTTTTATGGATATATGTATATCAGAAGTGTACAGTGTACATTTCCCTTATAAATTCTTTTTTTGGGTAATCTGATGATTTTTGGGAGAAATTTCCATCCGCAGATGATCACCCCTTTAGTCCTGAAATCCATCGCCATTTAAAAAAAACGGTGCCTACACTCCATTGCAAAATAGAGCGTTTTTAGGGCCACAATATCATCCAAATTTCACAGAAATACAAGCTCACGGTCCTGTGCACGGCTTCCACCCTTATTTAAAAAAAAATACCCCAAGTTCAAGGTCCACAAAATGCTCAAACACTGAAGAATTTTAGGGCATGCAAATCGTGATTTGGCCGGCGAAGGCAATTTCGGACCGATTTACTGGCCTGCCAACCCTATGGACTTTATTGCAAATAGTACTCGAGTGAATAAGCCATTTGCGAGTAACCTACACCCTTTGGGATTTACATTTGAAAAACATCTGGTACACTGACTTGCTCAGAATGCTTGGCACATTTTAACTTTGAATTCTCCAGACCAAAGACACTGTTGCTAATCACATGATTCGGGGCAAGCTCTTGCATAGTTACGTAAGAGACGCTCAGCACCAATACATTGTTCACAATGGGTGAGAATAGCACAAAGACACCAGACCATGCCGGAGCTGGGGGTTGCTAGCATAAGGCTTGCCCCGAATCACGTGATATATAAACAGTGTCTTTGGTCGGGAGAATGCAAAGTTAAAACGTGCAAACCATTGGATTAAGTCAGCATACCAGATTTTATTCAAATTTAACTCGCAAATGGCTTATTTGCACAATCACAGCTTTAGTTGCATAATGTACAAAGCAACTTGGGGAGGAAATTTTCAAAGGGGCAATGCCTTTTCTCTTCTCGCAACGTATGTTAACGAGCCATTGTGCAAATCCGCTTCAAAATATTTGCGATAAGGCTTTCCCGCTTAAAGTATGTGCACCGCAACTAGGCCGAAAATTTGGGACTCTCAATACGGTGTATGAGAGTCCCAAAACGTAGGGTATTGAAAACGTTCCAATTCAAGAAAATAGACTGGCACCTGAAACAACCAGTCCAACAACCCTTCAGTACCGCATCAACTATCTGGCATGCATGTCTGATACTAGTTTCTATTTCTACACATTCCTCCATATTCAGTCACCAGACTAATGACAATGAATGAATAGGTCAGTCTTGTCAAACAGTTGGCCCATGGTTAGACGTACCAGTCTCAGTCTTTAGTCTCATTTTGAAATCACTTGACTTCCCTCTCATCTGCAAAATACTGAAGAAAAGTCTCCTTTAACGACTAATGGAATCAAGTCTTTAAACTGGGTTGCTGAAATACTGAGGACCTTGTCTGTGCCTCATGAACATTTTTTTAAAGAGAATTTTGTCATTTTGCGAGTAAAGTTGGCCTGATTTTGTTATGATTTATTTTTAGCACACCAGGTCCATGTCTGCACCGCAACCATGCCTGGCTAGTGTGAAAGTGACTGTATGTGCACGTGCGGCTGAACTAAATATTTAATTTCTCACACGCAAAAAAAAGATCTCTCGAAACCAACACAAACTAGTAATCAAGACCACACATTCACAACAACTATACTCAAATAGACTAGGCGCGTTTTTAATAAAATCTCGAAGACCGACAGTCGGACATCAGGCGCGGTTCTGGGGGGGGGGGGGGTTTAGCCCTTTTGTCTACCCCCTTAACCCATAAAAAATGGCAGTAGCAAATGTAATAAGGTGACGTCACATGCGAACGGTCTCCCCCTAAAAAAATTGTCGTGAGAATTAGGGGGGCATTTGTACACTATTAGGTAATGTGAATGAGCGTCGGATTTTATCAGCGCTCACCATTGAAAATATGTAGGATTAGGAGCCCCCCCCCCCCTTTTTTTTTGATTTTCAGAGGCAGGCCTACTATCCGGAGAAAAAAAAGGTTCTACATTTCAGCATGCCTCCCTGCTAGTCACCCTAAAATATATATAGGCTCAACCGCGCCTGTCGGACATGGCCTGTATGTGACCTAAAGGGGGTGGGGGGGGGGGGGACAACGAAGAATATTAGAGGGGGGGGGGGGACACACACAATTTCCGGTCCGGCCGGACACTCTTTCCTGTAGGATATTGCCGGTCACGCCGGCGCGCTGCGCGACGGGCGAACAAAAGCTCGTCCGATTACCGACTTGTTTGCAAGTCTACCAAGACCGGATGATTATGTGCAGCCATAGCTCCATGGCGCAGCGCAGCCTGTCACATTAATGAGTGCAATACACAGCTCCCTTGCGGTACACACGTTATCCGCTCTCTGTCACCTATCCATGAACACATAGGAACTTACATCCATCCTTGATTGGCGGAATATCGAACTCCACGATCTTCATGTCGCTCCTCTTGGGCATTCCCTGGAAATGCTTCTCCAGAACCCACTTCTTTCCCTTCGTCATCTTGCTCGATTCAGACACGCTGCGGATCTACTAAAAGGAACCAACCGGTTGCTGATCGGCGTCTAGTGCAAAAGGCGTGAGTGTGGTCGTGACCATTGTTATGTATGGGGCTAGGCGTGCATGCATGCGTGCAACCTTTGAACCACTAGCCTTTGTTCCAGCACCATGTAATAACACCGTGTAATAACCACAGGACCGGATACTGCCCCCGATCATTTGTAATCTGCACAAATCCTGCGAGGGCCTCGAACGAAGGCTAAATTTAGCCAAGCTGAATAGCTTTACGCACTTGTTGATCTTCTAATCACTGAGTCAATGAGCTTATCAAGGCTGAAGGTCGTTTTATGAATCAAACTCGATTAAAATGAAATAACTGCCATTATTGAAATCGCAAAATGTAAACAGAAAAATTGCAGTGTCATGTGTCGAGGGTCAACTCTATTGTGTTCCGTTATTTCAACAGTATAGTAGACAGGTTAAGTTAGTATCGCGTACGGCAACGCGGACTGGAAATATGGAGAACTCGAAATTATTGTAAGGATATTTTTTTAGGGCTGTTAGCTTCTGTGTTTGTATTCCAAAAAAAAATCCGTTATCGAAACCAGTGCAGCTTACAACGATCAACGGGTAAAATAAGCGTTTTATTTTACTCACCCCTAACAACGCACACATGTTGCATTTTGTTATTTCAATTTATTGCTGAAAACGTTAAAGCTAACCCTATGGTGCATATACACTCCGTCAATAATAAAGAGAACATCACGAAATTATGCAACTACACTTTATTGCTGTTTTCATTTGTATGAATATAACTCATACATAAACGGTACACTATTTGAAGCACGCAGGATCTAAACCTAGCTCATAAAAAATAGGACTGGTACCAAACCCCTGTGAAATTCTGTCTAAAAACATCATTCGGAAGAAAACAATTTTTGAAGGTGGTTTTAAAAAGTGTGCCGGCGGGCTCATTTAAAAAAACAAACCAGCGTGTCAGCAACGGAATCCAGTAATTACGAGGCGAATTGTGTATGTTATATTTGTGCTTGTTTTATCAAAATTTGTAGCAGCTACTGAGCTGACACTTCAACAGGTTAGCTGTTATGCACCCTACTTAAAATGTTGGGCAATTGTGTTGCTTCAAACGTGGAGAGGGCACAAAAAGCAAATGATCGCACGTACCGAGTACACAGTGAAATCATGGAGCTATAAAACGTGTTTTATAGCTCCATGGTGAAATATAGTATAAAATATTAAAGTTAATGTCCTTACAATACAAGCACGTACAGTCTTGCAGACAACTCCACTTATACTTTTGAGAAAAAAAATGGCGCAATACTACTTTTAAATGTTAAAACCAAGCTTCATACTTTAAAATAATAGATTTATCTTAAACAAAAGTCGTACCTAAAATAAAGTTGTACAATGTATCTAAACTAATTATTTCATGAGATATCGGCTCAAATACTAACTAAAATAGCATTAGCCTGAATTCTGCATTTCAGACTTTTTTGATGCACTTACACTGTTATGATTCTTATACAAACATCTTGATATTGCATATTTCGATGGCATTTTTCGCCTTCGATGTTCTTCAAATACCAATTAGTTAATAGCCTCTATTTTGAATAGAACTTCAGAACATCAGGCATAAACAGATAATTGCATGACAAAACATTTAAAAACATATAAAGTATAAAACATTTCAGATCGTAACTTGCTATACGGTCTTCCACATTATTAAGCCAAAAGCAAACTAAAAACAATGCTAATTAAAAAAAAAAAGCACTTGGGATCCAAGTTTACTCATCCAACCGTATAAAGCAGGTTAATAGTCAACGGCGGATCTAGGGGCCAACGGGGGCCATGACTTCCCCAAAAACGAAACAATTGTTTTTTAGTGCCGCCGCAAAAAAAAGCAGACACTGCGTATACACCACCCACAAAACTCAACAAAAGCAATACCTCGCCGCGCCCCACCCTTGCTTTTCATATTTAATTTGGGGCGAGGATAATTTGGACCCACTTTTTCAGAGAACAACTTTTTTTTGGTCCCCCAAACAAAATTGTGCTCTGGATCTGGGCTGGTTGATATTTCACAAAACTGGAAACGAAGCGAACTTCATGACGACATTGAAGTTTCATCCTGATGTTCGCCATTACGCTAACGAATTCGCTTCGCGCTGAAATTCGCGTGAAGTATAAACCATCCTTTAAAACCACAAAACTGAACTTCTCAGTACATAATCATCTCGAGCTAAAGTCAAACTTAAAATGAGCAAAAGCTATGAAATAATCGAAAAACTATCGTCACTCTGTCTCTTCCCATCATCAACAATGCAACTGGGTTTAGAAACGACGTAGCCAGGGGTTTTTAGACCTCAACGACGGCCTTACCGGTGTTTGCTCCGGAGAACAGCCCCATGAATGCATCGAACATGTTGTCGAATCCCTTGGTGACGTGCTCTTTGTATTTCAACTTTCCCTGGGAGAAACATAAAAGAGAAGGTAAAAGAGAGGAGCTCACAAAATAGAAGCGATCAAACAATGTCAGCATCATTTTCTGTTCAGATTCGTAATGGCTCGTGTCCTTTTGAGATCATTGTGCTAAAAGTCATGAAAGTAACCTACCAAATTATTATCCAAAGTACTTAACACCCTGTCAATTTGTTCCGTCTGGCTTGTTGTCATTTAGAAGACATTGAAGAAGTGTAGGTGATTCCCAACGATTAGTCAACTGACTGATTTCTTTTTGGAATAAAGAGTGCTATATAACGACGAAATCGTGTTTCGTGATCAGAAAGTTGTGCATGATTTTTAACTTTGTTCTCGAAAAGTGTAATATCCACTGAGCTGAAATTTCAGTGGGTTAGATTTTAAACATTCGTTTTTGGATTTTGAGTAGTGTTATTATCGACAATTAACAAAATACACTTAAATGCAAATGATCCTACATGCCTTGAAGTGTTTTTTTTTTACGATGCCATGCATGGTTTGAACACAATGTCGGTCAACGTATACTATATACACGCTGGTATTGCATGGACTTGAAGTTTGTATACTTCCTGCAATTTACTTGTTAGGAGTTGAAGATAGCACTTAGTCACAAGCAGCAAATTGAAGTCAGAAGCGAGTTCGAGCGAGTGCCATGGTCGATATAGTGGTCGATTCGTGACGTAACCTACGCCTGCGCACTAATAGCAACATGCGAACGTATACTGGCTCCTTGCTTTGTGCTATGATGCTCATGGCTAGTGGTAACCAGAGCGGCTAACGCCCGGAGTTTCCCTAATTTTCCGGGTCAAAATGACCCGGAAAATGAGTCAAAGAAGTGTCCTTTTCGCCCTGAAACGTGTCAGACCCTGAAAAGTGTATCAGGCCAAATATAACCGGATTCTGGGTCAACCTGATTAGGGTCTTCTTTTTTTTTAGAGTTTTTTTTCCAACTGACCTCGTTAATCCACTGGATGTTTCGTTGGATCCATTCGGGGTAGCGGTCACGGTAGCTAACAACTCTGAAGCCTGTCATGGTGATCTCCTTGGAGATTAGAGTACCGTGTATAGCGGGCACTATACAAGAACATGAAAAATAACAAGGATGGCTTACGTCTTAATGTTGCCAGTTCTTAAGTGGTATCGCCCAAACACACGGAAAAGAGCCACTCATTATTATTAGGCCTATGTGTGTATGGGATAAAACAAAATGCAGGAAAGAAGCCATTAGGCCTATGTGTGTATGGGATAAAAAAAAATGCAGGAAAGAAGCCATAGTTAACGGGATTTATTTGTTCACACTTCTTTTGAATCGTGAAAGATTGTAAGTATAGATGTTGCATTAGGGAGAATACAGATCTAGAGATACACTGTTGTGTGGTGTCTTTTAATATGGCTGCTTCGATGTCACGTGTTTGACTAGTGTTTAGAGGGCGCTATAATGGTACTTATCCTACAGACTTATGTAGCTGCAATATTCCATCCATCACATGACGTACAGACCAATCCAAAGACGGCGGCCCCCTCTTGATGGCGAAAACATTGCGCCAGCTATTGTTCAGATATAATCCGTCCTCGGCAGTTGCTGGCACAATGAATGCGCCATCGAAAGGGGCCTCTGTGAATGTACAATGTATGTCTATGGGTGCACACCGGTAAATCCATCCGCCAAGCTCATGAATAAAAGTTATACCCTCAAAATATTCTATATTAGAGAGTTCTGAGCGCCGTAGAATTGGGGAATTGAAGAGATATGGTACTGAACCTCTGGCCCGGACTTGGGGCTTCCAATTCTGAGCATTTCGGATGCTATTGGGCTCGAAAGTGGCGCTTTTTTGCCATGTTGTGGAGGGATCGTTTTTCAAGATGGCTACTTTTCCGCTGTGGGGAAAATAGGGGTCGTCTTCATTGGGTGAGAATATCTCGAAAAGTCAATGGTCAACCCACCAAAAATTGAAAAGAAAACGAAAGATGACATGTTGATCATCATTTTTCTGTGCAGCTTGAATACCTGTGAGAGTTCTGAGTATTTTTAAAAGAATTTTGAAGTATGGGCATTTAGCACTAGTGTCTATGGGAATTTATTTGCACTGTTGCATCCCTATGGAATATTCAGTGCATCCTCACTCACACATGAGTGGCTTGGTGTCGTTGTACACCGATATAGCGCCACAGCAAGCGACACGTCCGAGCCGTGCCATGTTGTTGAGTACGGTGTTGGAAAACTCTCCGCCCACCTGTACAAAATGAAAGTTCATTGTTAGTAATAGAAAGCATCCTCGATGCGCAATAGGGCGCCCTTTAGGGGTTACAGTTCACGATATAGCGCTATACAGGTTATGCCTTGTTGGTAAGTACACTCCGCCGACCTCTACATAGACCTATGCGATGCAAGTTACAGAAGTAACATCCTCGAGATGCCTGAGGGCGAACTACATGTTTATAGGGGTCATATAGCTATGCCTAAGTTAGGGCGAGGACAATTAGTAGATTACAGATGATGACTGAAGCCATTTACGCCTGCGCGCTGCCATATCAACGCGAAAACGCCTCTAGTCAAACCATGGTCATATCACATCGCGCACCCTAACATGAATATTTATCACGCTGTGAGGATCAAAGACACTAGGTTCTCGCAGTGTTTCCCTTTCAATTAAACTTATCCAAACCAACAGAGATATTCGATGAAAATGGAAATAGGTTCGAACCACAGATCTTGCGATCCATAGTTCATTCCAATATCCACTATAGGCCACTGTGGCAGCTCGACGAAAGCCATTTTTTGAAATGCTTTAATGTACATGTATGACTGAGTGACGGCATCGGTGTGACGTCATTGTTATTTCCTTATGAATAAACATCGAACTAGCTGAATAAACATGACTCATTGACGATGTGTGCTGCAGTTAAAAAGACCGCTGCGATATTAGACGAACTAACTGTAGTTCGCACCCGAAGTTGCTCTTTACTTAGAAACTCTGCTGAACTAAACTTCGATTGTTTTACCAAGGTACATCTGGTCATGCATGTTTGATACATCGTAAGCTCCCAGATGCGCAGGCAACAACTTAGCGCCCTTACTAGCGCAAACAGCACAACTCACGTTGTCAAAGTAGCAGTCAATGCCGTTGGGGGCGACCGACTTCAGAGTAGCGTCCAGATCCTTGATGGTCTTGTAGTTGAAGGCTTCGTCGAATCCAAGCTCCTTCAGCCAGGTCACCTTCTCTTCCGAGCCGGCGAAGCCGATGACTTTACAGCCCTAATAGTACGTTGGAAAGAAGAAATTAAGTGTGCGAGTCCCATTTCAAGCTTGAGGGAAACAATAAACAAAGTATATTGTGCAAATTTTTTCAGGATTGGCCAATGCGATACATCTTGTCATTAAAGCCATTTTTCTATGTACAACTCACGGTGAAATTATGTACAGCTTGTTTTACCTGTAGTCAGATTTGACCGTAAAACATGCATACTATCACCCAGCTGACTTTTTTCTCTGCCAAATGCGACTAAAGTTTTCAAAAGTGCGATTACCTAGATAATGTTATACAGAGTGAGTCAAGAAAAGCGGAACCCAAACCCCCAAAATGTATTTCATATTTAAAAAAAAATGTAGCACCCAAAATAATAATGACTGGAAAGCCAATTTCATAAGCTCCTTCAAGATGAAAAAAAAATACTGAAATTGCCCAATACGAATATCACCATTTAAACACAATGACCTTTTAAACGTGTCTCGTCTAAAAAATAAAGCAATTTATTGTGTGTTTTGACTGGAACAACAAAGAAAACGACACAGACTACTTGTTTCAACAACTGCCAACAACAGTAGTACACAATATATGAATAACCTCGGTTAGGCAAACTATATGATTTATAAAATCCACTTTTTTTAAAAGACGGGCTTTCAAAAGGACTTTGGTGAATATTTTTAACTTTTAACTGAGCTTTTCGCTGGTGATGTTTGAAGACAATCGTGACGACGATTCTTGAAATCGCATTTTTGGACGAGACAGGTTTTAGGGTCATTGTGTTTCAATGGTGATATTCTTTGAACGGATTGAGCAATTTCAGTACGCTTTTCATTTAAAAGTAGCTTATGAAATTGGCTTTCCAGTCATTATTATTTTGGGTACTAAATATTTTTTTAAATATGAAATACAATTGTTGGGGTTTGGATTCCGCTTTTTTTGACTCCCCTTGTACCTTTATAAAGAACAGTGCTTTTCAGTACACCAAGTGAACATGCAGGTCAAGAACAAATTACATGAACAAGTTATACTCAGATCAGACACTTACGTCAAAATAATAGTCTCTGATTTCAAGTTTGTATTGCCAAGAGCACATTTTCCTCACGATGCAGTTTATATAGAAGGAACAAATGATCTTTCCACTCTGTGTACATATTTTTATCGTTTGAGGTAACAAAATTGCTCAAATCTAAAGTAGGGGGCATAACTACTAACCTGTTGAAATTTCGGCTCACTAGATGCTAGGCATTTTGATTAAACAGAGAAAACGTGTACGCTCGATGTTTAGGGAATCGTTCCCGTTGCTAACGCACGTACAATATTATGCCCGTTGGCACACTTTTAAAAATCACGCGCAATAGTTGTTTTTTTTTCTCGATCGAAGCCAATTCTGATGGAATAATTTCACAGGGTATTTGGTACCACCCCTATCTACACTTCGAGAAGGTGTTTGCTCTTTAAATAGGTAGGTCCGTTTCCGGGTAACTGCAAATGATCCTACCTTTAAACAAGTTAAATGAGACAAAAACTGCGATTGATCTTTTTTAGGTTTAACCTTCGAAGGTAGACCTACCTTGAATTTGGCTATTTGTCCCACCGCGTTACCGACTGCCCCGGCTGCACCGCTGACTACGACCACCTCACCAACCTTGGGCGCACAGATATCAACCAAACCGTAATTGGCTGTCATACTGCAGAATAAAAAAAAATGTAAAACAATTAACGAAGTACGAACAAGGAAATCCAAATCTTTACAAACAGCAAATCACATGAAGCTGCGAAAGCACAGAATTGTCACCAATCAAAATGCCACGCCATCTCTATGGCCGGTGACTGGTTCTCAACAGATTTGTTTTGCTCAGCACATAAATTTGCTCCCATCAGCTACATTGCTTGGGCCCAGAGCCAATTTAAGGTTCTGCTTGTATCGTCAGCACGGGATCTTATAAAGCAAAGTTAATGAAAACATTTTACAGTTTATTATTGTAACGAATTCTGGCTTGTTCGCAGAATTTCTTTGCTAACCCTGTAAGCACAGAGTGGTGATGTAAAATCAAGAATGGACCGTTCCGGTGTCATGTCATAATTATGAAAATTGGACTCTAAATGAAAATCGGACTCTAGATTAAAATCTGACTACTTTACCCACAGGGTGCCACCAAAAAGTTTACACTGTTCATACGCAGAGTTCTCAAAATTGGGGACTCCTGTTGAAATTGTTATATGATATTCCTAAACTACAATATCTTGATGGCATATGATGAAAACGGCGTCGAAAATAAAGGCTTAGGTAATAAATGGCGGACATTTACAGACAAATTGTCAAAAGCCTGTCTGTACACACGTGCGTTATTAATAACACACGTGTGGACACCCAGCTTTTGACCATTTTTTTTTTAATGTAAACGGTCGTCATTTCTTAATTTAGCCTTTACTTTCAATGCCGTCTTTACCATATACCATTGAGATATTGTAGTTTAGGAATATTTAAAAAAACTATCAGCATGTCTACCCAATTTTGAGAAATTTGCGTTTGAAAAAAAGGTGTAAACCTTTTTTTGGACCACCCTGTATAATTGAATAAACCCTCTCACGTGACCGGTCACTCTCCTAATTATCATACTTAGGTGTGCGATTCTACCAATGAGTCCGTATTTCATGGATTCCTATACATTCACGCTACACCGGACTGGGTTATAAGCCCCGCCCACTTTCCGTTTACAGTCACTGAGTTCGACTGAGCTAACATGCATCACCTGACCGAAAGTCGTGATCTAAATGGCCAATGCATTCTGTTTGATTGACAGGCAAGAATTATGGTCAATTCCGTGGTTAGCAGAACCAGTTGCTTCTTCTTACCCGGGCATGCCCAGAGTTCCCAAGGCCAGAGATAGCGGCACTCCCTTTGGATATGGCGGTATCTTGGTCAGATTCTTCCCGTCAGACACGGAGTGGCTGACCCAGCCAGCGTGGGTCAGCACGTTGGTACCGAGCGGGAACTCGGTGTTCTTGCTCTCGATTACCCTAAATCAAATACCAAGCAAAATGGTAAACAAAAGGAAAGTCAGCCACCACTCAACTAGGATCATTAGACCGGTGTTTTTAGGCCGACATGAAACGACTGCAAATAGTTTTATTTCCTCCTGGATGCACTCTAAAAAATCCGGGTCAAATTGGACCCGGCATCTAGGTGTATTTGACCAGATGCTTTTAAGCGTCCAAATAATATTTTTTAGAATCAAATTGACAATTACCTTGATCATTTTCAGGATCAGTTGTACCCAAAAACCTTAATTGGCCAAGGTGTCATTTTGACCCGGAAACCTTGGCCAAGGTGTCGTTCTAACTCTGAAACCTGGCCAAGGTGCCCGTTTTGACTTGGAAACGCCTCGGCCAAGGTGTCGTTTTGACCCGGAAACTTTGGCAAAGGTGTGATTTTGACCCAGAAACCTTAGCCAAGGTGTCGTTCGGACTCGGAAACGCCTCGGCCAAGGTGTCGTTTTGACCCGGAAACTTTGGCCAAGGTGTGATTTTGACCCAGAAACCTTAGCAAAGGTGTCGTTCGGACTCGGAAACCTTGGCCAATGCGTTATTTTGACCCGGGAAAGTGTCATTTTGACCCTGAAAAGTAAGTCAGGTCCAACAGAACCCGGACATTCCGGTCACGTCCATCTGACTAGGGACTTTTGAGAGTATGGGATATCAGACCATCGGAGATTACTCCAGCATAATGCCAGTAACCAGTAACTTCCTGGTAAATTATCTTGCTTAAGGATGTCAACAAACTGATGACCAGCAGCAGGATCCAAAATCCTGACCCTCTGATCACGAGTTACAAACCCTAACCACTTGTAGGCAACATTCCCGTCCTTGAAAGGAACATGGGACATTTATTATTTGCTATCACAGAAAGAATCCAAATGAATTGTCTCAAAATATAAGATGGTTAGTCTGATATGTCACAGTTGGAAAGTTTGTTGTGCTTTAAAGAGGTCGGCGTGGCACATGGCGTCAATGGTGCGCATATCAAAAATGACCCCGTCGACGTCTTTTTTTCATCGTTAATTAAGGGGATATTTGTGCACGGGGTCCTTAGAATGGTCCATAAAGCTATGAACATGTAAACGAATGTAATAACAACAAAATAGCTCTCTCAAGACAAACCTACCTTGCTATTTGCTCGCCGATCATGGTGATCCCTTCTGGCATTGTAGCTGTGTACGGCCTATCAAATAGATAAGTAACATTTTTCTCATTTGCAAACCATTAGGGACATCTTGTAATGGCAGATCATTACGATAAGGGTAGTTTTTGTTCTGCTGGAGTGGAAATGATCATGTTAATTAATCAGACCACATGTACTCCAAAATGAGCGGTGAACATTCAACCATGTTTGCGCCTTTTGATAGTGTCTGCCACACGAGGTGTAGGGTGTAGGCCTACGGTCTTAGTAGTCCTGGTGGTGTAACGGACGTCCTAGCTAGCAGATGTAGGACTCCGCCGGAGCAATGCTGGACCACTGCCGGAGCCCCTTGTCTCACTGTAAACTCTGTATGAACTCTATTGTTGAAGCTCCGGAACACGTCCCGCTCTATCAGGAGATTTTCTCAAGTGGGGTTCTTTGTTCAGTATTCGCCCTGTTCACGCTTCCGCCAAAGGCATGCATGCACAGCCTCGATCTGGCAAGTTTACACAATGAAAATAACCGGTTCAGTGATTCCCGTGTCGGGGTTCAGATCACAAAACCGGCTATTTTCATTGTGTAAACTTGCCAGATCAAGGCTCTGCGTGCCTTTGGCGGAGCGTGAAAAAAGCGAATTGGCAGGAAGGGTTGACCAGACGCCAATGCCAGGCTTCAGCGGGTAAATGTTATACATTGTATCAAAGTTGTTGTCCAGACGACCGCCAGGGGCAGACGGAATACTGAGTTCCATGAGTACCGGTAGGCATCGAGGGGCATTAGTGTGTCTCACATTGCATAAAAGTGAGTGCGCTTCTTTCCCGTTTGCGTTTGGCCAACCGAACAAACAAGGACCCGGCATAGGCGTCAGTTACAGTGCGCACACCACAGGCCTATTCAGGGAAGTTTGTAACGAGGTATAAGGTAGCCTACTGGTACAAAGATACTGGACTCCCTCGATGTACTTTAGGGCAAAATCTTTATAAACCAGAATAGGACTAGGTGCAAGACATCAGGGAGCTGTAAGCACAGAATAATTGCTAAGCACATAAAATGTCTGCTTAGGAAGAGCAGGATACCAGCCCCCAACACACTTAACTTTGTATACCGCATGTGACTGGTTCTCAGCCGATTTCTGCTTAGCAATGAAATTTGCTTAGCAAAAGTTTCTGCCTAGCGGCTCCATGAAATTGGGTCAAGGTGAAACACAACACTCACCTCATATACGGATCCAAACTGAGGTAGACTGCTTCCAACAGAACCGCTGTAGGTACAAGCAACCGCAACATGTCATAGTATGATAGTAAGATGAACTTTAACTGGGTTTAGTGACTTTTACTGTTATTTTAAAGATCTTAATGTAGGGAACCGTGCCTGAGCAAGGGCGACCTCTTTAGTCCTTTCCAATATTATTATGCAGATGACGTATCTGATTTGCATGTTTCTATATGAAACATTACGTTGTTGGTGACCTTTGTGCTTCCACGCAAGGACGGTTGACATTCTTCTTCAACAACATGAGAAGCTAGTTCTTAGGTCCATCTTTCACAATTTAATTAGGAATTATTATTGTATAATTGTATGGTTCCCATTCAATTATTTTATACATGTAATTCCAAGATTATTGCTTGTAGTTTCATTGCCTGGTTAAACATTTGTCGAGGTGTTTGCTCTAGCGTATAAATATGCAGACGAGTGATTAGTCAGCACCAGAGGTGGCAGCAAGTCATTTTTTGCAAGTCCAAGTCAAGTCACAAGTCATTGTTTGCAAGTCCAAGTCAAGTCACAAGTCATTAGGTCCAGTCACAAGTCAAGTCACAAGTCATTAGGTCCAGTCACAAGTCAAGTCACAAGTCATTAGGTCCAGTCACAAGTCAAAGCACAAATCATTTGGTCTAAACACAAGTCAAGTCACAAGTATCTTTGTCCAAGAACACGTCAAGTTGCACATTATTTTGTCCAGCTGTAATAAGCTAAAAGAACCTGGCGTCAACTTACGAGTTATTTTGAACATGCCTCCTTAATTCCCCCTTTTCAATGTGTTGCTAATACTATTCTTGTAGTTTATCACATATCTGTCGGATATTAGCCCTTTGTATACTTTAATAAATTTACTTAACACTGTAGAAATAAATGTTGAGATGACATGAAAAAAAGACTTCACTCACTCGATTACATGTAGTATACTAACACTTTATTGTTCAATTTTCATGTATACTAAACGCCTACCAATGGGTTAGGCTATCCGGTATTTTACATGCAATTGACAAAGGGCTGCTTTCTTTTCATGAAAGGTTCCTTTCAAAGTTTGTTCAACCATTACATTAAGCAAGAGACTTGGTCATTGAAAACTGTGTAGTTTGTTGTGACAGTCTTATTGAAAACTTTTGAAACTATTGGGAACTATTCATTTTACTGGATTTAGCGTCTGACTTGGGTTGGTAACAAGTCATTTTTTGCAATCCCAAGTCAAGTCACAAGTCATTGTTTGCAATCCAAGTCAAGTCACAAGTCAAAGCTGGTATTTACAAGTCAAGTCACAAGTCACAAAAATAGCGACTCGAGTCCGACTCGAGTCCAAGTCACATGACTCGAGTCAGCAACTCTGGTCAGCACCTCCAGATTGTATACTTTTCTCGGTCTTTTTCTGGAAGATTCTTCAATTAAGCACATCACAACCACATTTCTGTCTCGCTTTTCATCGTTTTCGTGCGCCAGCATGGCTTTGCCATGACGGCCATGTGTCCTGCGGGGTAGAGCATTTTCCTAAGAAACCCCCATATTTAAGTGTTATTTGTAGGAATTATGACAGAAAGTGAATTTTGTTTAACGTAAAAGTCTCTCACGTGTTTGTGACATGCTGCATGGCCAGTGCGTGAAGTACAGATACCATGTATTATGTACAGTGTGTATTGTGTACAATCATAATGTGTGCCCTTCTATACCGAGCTTGGATCGTCATCGTCATCAATACTCGCCATTCACCAATCACAAGCCTAGAAATCCATGTGCAAAGATGGCGGTTGTACCGTTTCAGTCTGCCGGTAGTCTGTGACGAAAACCTTGCGCCCTAACCCAGCTAGACAAAATTGTGAGTATAAAGGTGCATTTCATGTCGAATATGAAGTAACCTGTTTGTCTAGTGAAAATTTGGGCTGTGGGCACACACAAAATTTTCTATCGCGATTATTTCCTTTTTTGAACCAAAATTCGTCCCAAAATGTCTCATTTTAATCGATACAAAATCTCATTCAAACTTCAACAGTTTGAAAGATATACTCTTCATCTGTGATTTTATATCAACAAAGTGATCATACATGCCAAAAAAGCCGAGTATTTTATACATTCCACAGGCTATTCCAGCTCATTAAATATGCAAGGCGAGGTCACGCACGGGAATTTATGAATACGTTGCAAAGAAACTAAGCACTTTCGCGTGCACTGCGGACTGGCTGTGTACAATCATAATGTGTGCACTTCTATACCGAGCTTATTCCAGGCAATGAGGGTTTGTTCATTCTGGTACATTTTGGAGTTGGAGTAAATAAAAGTGCCAATCGTCTGTTAACTAAAGTCAGCTTCTCAGAGTGACCTTCATTTTGGGTCTGCTTCTCATTCTTTTCTGCCCCTGGTGCTCGTCCTCTTTAACTAGAGGGCCGGCCTCCTTGTTGCCGTCCCACTACATTCATATCATTAATATCGTTCGGCGTGCTAGTGATCATAGTGATATTCGGTACACTACCAACTATATGTCATTGTGTTCAGTGCATGGTTGACTGGGTGCAACACACATCCCTTAATTCCCTGTGTTACCCTTGAACATCATATGTGAACTTACAGCCGTCCTTGATCGGCGGTATATCGAACTCAACGATCTTCATGTCGCTCCTCTTGGGCATTCCCTGGAAATGCTTCTCCAGAACCCACTTCTTTCCCTTCGTCATCTTGCTCGATTCGGACACGCTGCAGATCTACTCAAAGGACGAACCGAATGTTGATATGCGTCTAGTCCGAACGGCGCGGAGTTGGTTATGGCGATTGGCACCAAAAAGCGTGCATACAACCCTCGAACCGCTAGCCTTAGTTCCAGACGTGCTGATCAGCACCGTGCAGTTACCTTATGACCAGATTCTCAGTACCACGGCTCTTTTGTAATCTGCACAAAACGTGCAGTGCCTCGAACGAAGGCTATTTTCCAGCGCAGCGGAATAATGAAAACGCTCATGTTTCTCCATTATCACACAGTCAATGGGTGTATTGACAATGTTACCGAGGTCAATGTCTATGAATCAAACATGAAATGATTGGCATCAGGCTTGAAATCGCGAACTGTAAACAGAAAAATGCAGTACGTGTCATGTGTCGAAAGTGGATTCAATATGTTCTGTGATATATCAACCATCAAAACAATGTTTTTTCAATATTTTTTTATTGCAGGGAGATACTGCATAGTCACCTAACAGTTTTATGAATCAAAAAGCGTTGGTCGAGCCGTTCAAATAAAATGATTGGTAGAGTTGAAATCGCAACACGTAAACAGAAAAATTGCAGTGTCATGGATCAAGATTCAATTCCATATTTCTTGTTCTTAGAAATAATTATAAGACTTCACAAACCTAAATACTATCAATGGTGTTTTAATAGTTTATAGGAAGAAATAACATATTCACCGACCAATTTGTCTTTGTGTCTGTAATAAAATATCCGCTGCAAAATCAGTATCCTGTGGTACAGTTATTGGCCTCATTACTTTCCTTTATAAAGGATTAATAAATACCTTAGAAGGTTGATGGTTTCTGATTGGTTGAAAAACGATCACGTGGCCGGGCATTAACGGTGATAAAGACCGGCTTCAAAGAACAAGCGAAAAAAATGGCCCCTGAACCAGCATTGATCCAGCCCCATGGAAGGCAATGATTGGCCAAATTTACAACACTCCTACGGCAGCTTGTAACAATACAGCACTGCACATGCGCTCAACCACCATCGCGTATGGTGTACTATAAAGGACACTTATCTGTTATCGTCGTGCGTGTGGGGAGCTCCGTCGTGCCTGTGAGCAGGTCCGTCGTATTTGTGGAGTGGTCCGTCGTGTTTGTGAGCAGAGCATCGTGTGTGTGAGTAAAACTGTCGTGCCTGTGAGTAAAACCGTCGTGCCTGTGAGTAAAACAGTCGTGCCTGTGAGTAAAGATTTACTCACAGGCACGACGGTTTTACTCACAAACTCGACGGACCTCCCCACACACACGACGGACCTGCTCACAGGCACGACGGACCTTCCCACACGCACGACGCTCTGCTCACAAACACGACGGACCTCCCCACACTTACGACGGATCCCCCCCCCCCCACACGCACGACGGACCTGCTTACAGGCACGACGGTTTTACTCACACGCACGACGCTCTGCTCACAAACACGACGGACCTCTCCACAAACACGACGGACCTGCTTACAGGCACGACGGAGCTCCCCACACGCACGACGCTCTGCTCACAAACACGACGGACCTCTCCACAAACACGATGGACCTACTTACAGGCACTACGGAGCTCCCCACACGCACAACGCTCTGGTCACAAACACGACGGACCTTTCCACGACGCACAACGATAACAGATAAGTGTCCTTTATAGTACACCATAATCGCGTGAAGACTTACGCGCGCGTCACAAAACAGTTACTATGGGTCCGCGCGCGTAAGGAAGTTTTCAAACGTACGACATCGTACGCGGCGCGTACAGCAGTGTACTGAGGATGTTAACGACGAAAGTGTGGATCTGCGATTTACTTTCTGTAAACACTCAACCTCGTTCCCCATGGGTACGATCGTGCTGCTCCATGTTGTTTCCCATCATGCCTTGCGCGATCTTAGTGTAAAGAACGCGCACGCGCCCATGGAGTCGAGGCTGGTAAACACTTTACCCACTGACATATTTACCTTTCCTAAACCGAGCATCTTTGTAATTCTGGACACAAGGAATAATGTAACCGAAGTTTCAGCTTCCTCCATCAGGTAAAATATGAACAAAATTGTTGTAATTTGTTTCGCTACGGCACGGAGCAGAAGTTCATAACATGGACGTTTTTATGCAATGATGAAGACGTCGTCGCGTCCAGCGCAGGCTGGGCCCGGCCGGCTAGGGTACAACGCATATTGAAGAGACAGGGTACCACGCATAAGCTAAAATATGGCCCATGAACATGAACACAAAATATCGCCGACAAAAGAGTCCCAAAATTGGAGCATTTTAACTGTTTATTTCGTTAAAAAGGTATTTTCAATTTTATTAACCCCTTAAGCACGGGTTATAATGGGGACATTCCTCCACACATAGAACAAGTGGCCCGCATGACTGCACAGCCTTTGTGTGGTAGCGGGACTGCACAAAAGCAGCAGCTGTGGAACTACTCACTAGCCGTGTGCCACGGCATACCACAGCTGGCAACTGCATTCCAATGAGGATTAGCGGCCGCGGCCATGACCGCTTCCTGAGCTCATGGGGTTAATAGGAATAACAGTGTGAGTATCCGGTCTTCACTGCGTGATAATGACCAGCTTTGGGGGTGACTGCTGTTAATGGACCGAGACGAAAGTAAAGCGCGCGTGCATACAACCTTTGAACCACTAGCCTTTGTTCAAGACGGGCTTATCGCGGCGTGCAATAACCGTACAGTGCCCCATATCATTTGTAATCTGCACAAAACATGCAAGGGCCTCGAACGAAGGCTGTAGCCAAGCTGAATAGCTTTACGCACTTGTATAATTCCATATCACTGAGTCAATGAGCTTATCAAGGTTGAAGGTTGTTATGAATCAAAACTGTATGTTGAACGCGATTTAAAATATAATTAATTGCCATTAATGAAATCGCAAAATGTAAACAGAAAAATTGCAGTCTCACGTGTCAGTGTCACTTCTACATTTTGTATTGCGTTTCGTTCTTTGAAATATGAAGCGTTATCTAACTGGTTTCAAATGTTAAATATACATGAAATTAACGGTAATATGATTCGCCCTTCATCTTCTTGTTTTTCACTTTCTTTGTCCTTGCCCCCCTCCTTTTTTGTAAACAAATAACTTTTAGCTAAAATGATTTATTTCTATGTAATAACAGTTGTATCTAAAGTTATATAGCTTCACTAGATATCGGTTTTAAAAAATAACCAGCATTTGATACTTTTATGAACTAAAACTATTAGCCTATGAGTCTTATACAGACATCTTGATATTGCATATTCGATGGTATTTTGAGCCTTCGAAGTGTATTCTAACACTAATTAATTAATAGTTTCTAATTTGAACAGAACTTCAGAAGAGCAGTCTTAAGCAGATAATTGCACGATAAAACTAAAGGGTATAATATATTTCAGATCTTAACCTGAAGTGGTTCTTCCACATTATAAAGTCTAAAACAAACTAAAAACAAGGTAATTAAAACCAAAAAGCAATTGGGATCCGATTGTGTTTATCTAACCGTTTAAAGGTAGGTTGCTTCACGCCAAAAGCTAAAGCGAAGCGAATTTCATGACAACAATTAAAGGGGCACTAAGTCCAGAATTCCCCGAAAATAACATGTTTTGGATTATTTACTTATCCTATTTCAAACATGTGGTTGAAAGGAAACCAACCTAATATATTACCGTTCCCGAGAAAAGACGGAAAAACCTGTTGTTTACATGGGACACGACGGACTACGGATATGTTTTTCCTGTCGTTTTCAGTCAAAGTACGATACAATTTTTGTGTGTCACATAAAAACATACATCACCAATGCACAAACTTGGTTTCTTACACATCCGCAAAACACTTTACGGATGAAATCACAACTAACATGCACGGCCCGATTGTTTGGGGTCGCAAAAGTGGACCCCGAAATTCGTTCCCGTACGAATAACACAAGAATGGCACAAAACGCCCCGTTTTTCGAGGATAGTCGTGTGGATATTTATATGCTACTTAATGTTCTTACCGATTAACATCATTTCTTCCCAAGTCTGTTTTGTAGCCCAATTGGGCGAATTGCAGGACGTAGTGCCCCTTTAAAGTTTCATTCTGACGGTCGTCATTACGCCAACGAATAGACCTTATTCAAGAGGAAGCCATTCTCAATCGTGTTCCAAGCCTCACTTTGAATTATTTTTTGTTTTAAATGTGGCTTAAAACATTAGGTGCGTGTTTTAAATTATTCGTCAGAGCAGACGTTGCAATGAACTTATATATCATTTTTTGCTCTCGTTACTTCTCGCAAGATTTTACCTCGCTTTCAATTTAATATGGTCGACTCATGAATAAAGTTTATTCGCTTCGCACTGACGTTCGCGTGAAGTATGTACCAGCCTTAAAGACCACTGAATTGAGCTTCTACATCTGTTCCCAAACTGAAGTCAAACTGAAGATAGGCAAAAATCATTAAAACAAATCACTTCAAAACCATCGTTTATATTCTATCTCTTTCCATCAGCTACAGTGCAGCTAGGTTTATCAACGACGCAGCCACGAGTGTTTAGACCTCCACGACGGCCTTGCCAGTGTTTGTTCCCGAGAACAGCTCCACGAAAGCATCGAACATCTTGTCGTATCCCTTGGTGACGTGCTCTTTGTATTTCAACTTTCCCTGGGAGGATCATAAAAGAGAGGAGTTTACAAAAAACAATGATAAAACATTGAGAGTCAAGACCAGGGTTGGCGATTTTTTTTGATTAAAAAAAAAAAAAAAAAAAAAAAATCGGATTTATTTAATTTAAATCAGATTTTTTTGATTTCAATCAGATTGTTTTTGATTTTTTTTAACTTTCAAAATATTGATATGTCTAAACATGTGTCTAAATCTCCCCGTGCACCTCACACCCAACACTAAGGAGTTTACATGTTCCTATAATACCCATCATCCACAAAACTCAATAAATTGATAAATGCTTTTGAAAAAAAACTGTATTGAATCAGTGATTTAAAAAATCACTTAATTCTTCTACATGTAGTCTACATAATTGGTTCAATGGTACATTATTACTGAAGACACTTTAAAGGTGCATTGCTTGATTGATGCAGCTGAGATACGTTGTGTTTGGATATGAATAAAAACTTGATTTATGGCACCTGTACATGGTATACAAAAAAATACGACAGAAACTTTTCAACTCAGATCTTGACTTAAACAAAACAACAATTTTGTGTAATTATGCAAAACCTAAATTGAGTCGATGGTGATGAAGTAGGGGTGTTTGAATGTGTTAACAACATCTTACACTTTGCAATTAAGTGGAATCAGTTGATTTAATGATTAAAATGACCCTCAATCAATTGATTTTTGCCAAAAAATTAGATTTGTACAAAAAAGTGATTTAAATCAGTGATTTTTATAAAAAAATCATTTGATTTAAATCGCGATTTTAATCAGTGATTTAAATCAACGTAAATCAGCCAACCCTGGTCAAGACCATTCTGTTTAGATTAATTTTGGATAACACCTTGTTGCATTTTCTGAGCACTGTGCTGAGCCTCAAAAGGCTAACTTGGATTAAAGATTTTACTGGTAATGAACACCTTGTAATATTATTTTGTCTGGCTTGCTGTAATTTAGAAGAAATTCAAGAAATGTAGGTGATTACCAACGATTAGTCAATTGACTGATTTTTTTGAATAAAGAGTGCCATCGACGATATCGTGTTTCGTGATCAAAAAGGTTGTGCTTGTTTTGTTTTTAAACTATTTTCTCGGAAATCGTAATAGTTTTTATAGCCACTGAGCTTAAACTAAAACAAGGTTTGAACATTTTCCTTTGAATTTTGAGTGGTGTTATTGTTGAAAACGAACAAAATACATGAGAAGCATGTCTTGCATCCTTTTTACGATGGCATGATTCGATCACACTGTCTGTCAACGTACACGCTGTTATTGCATGGACTGAACTGAGGCTTAATTGTATACTTTCTGCGAACTTGTTAGGGCTGGGAGATAGCGCATAGTCACAAGCGGCAAATTGAAGTCAGAAGCAAGTTCGTGCGAGTGACTTGGTCGACTGGTGGTCGATTCGTGACGTAACTTACGCCTGTGCGCTCACACCAACATGCCAACGTATCCTGGCTCCCTGCTTTGATGCTTGTGGCAACCAAAGATGCGAAACGACCTCACTTTTCAGGCTTTATTCTTTTGCGGGTCAAAGTGACCCGGAAAATGAGTCACAGAAGTGTCATTGTTACCCTGAGAAGTGTCAGGCCAAATAGAACCCAGATTCAGAGACCTTTTCATTTTTTAACGAAATACTGACCTCTTTAATCCACTGGATGTTTCGTTGGACCCATTCTGGGTAGCGGTCACGGTAGGAAAAAATGATGAAACCTCTCATGGTGATCTCCTTGAAGATTAGAGTACCGTGCACTGCGGGCACTACAAGAAATGAAAAATAACGACTGGCTGGCTTCTTAATTGATTTTGCAAGTTTAGGGGTACTTTAGGGGTACTGCTCCAACACACGGCAAAGAGCCACGCATAGGTGTGGGATAGAAACTGGAAACAATACGCAAGAAAGAAAATTAAATGTCGTAGTATAAGCGGGATTTATCTGTGCATTGCAGTCGATAGTAGGTAAATGTGGCTGCAATATTCCATCCATCACAAGACGTACAGACCAATCCGAACACGGCGGCCCCCTCTTGATGGCGAACACTGTATGTGTCATGCACTGTTCAGATAACCCACCAAGGGCAGTTGCTGGCTCAATGCATTCGCCATTGAAGGGGGCCTGCGTGGGTGTAGTGATGGCATTTTGGATTATAGTCTATGGAATCTTAAGAGTGTATCCACACTCACACAAGAGTGGCTTGGTGTCGTTGTACGACGATATAGAACCACAGCAAGCTATACGTCCGAGTCGTGCCATGTTGTCCAGTACGGTGCTGGAAAACTGTCCGCCGACCTGTACAAAAATGCAATATGAAAGTACATGGAGATGAGCAGCATCCTCCAGACGCCTGAGGGCGCACTAGCTATAGGGTTCATTGAGGAATACTTATAAGAAACTCTATGTGCTGAACCATAACGGTGCAGACCTGTGAATGGGTAAAGAATTGCGTACGCGAGCCAAATCACAATTTGTGCACCCTCAAACTCTTTGCTATTGGAGCATTTTGTGGGCCATGAAATTGAAGGTTTGTAAAAGAAAAATGTGCGTGGGAGCCGTGCACAGGAGTGTGAGCTCGTATTTCTGTAAACATTTTCAGGAATTTGCGTCCTAAAATTGCTATATTTTGCAATGGAGCACAGGCGTCATTTTGCAAAATGGCGATGGGCCACAGGACTACTTTTCGTGGTGATCTTCTCCAAAACGTTATCAGATAACGGAACAAAAATCTAACAGAAAATGAAAGATTATGAAATAAGCTTGCATGTGATGGGTGTGTCAAACACATTGGGGAGTTGTGAGTATTTGAAGATTTTTTGGAAGTTTGCGTAATTATCACTGAAGTCTATGGTAGTCAATTTGCAGGTCGGTACTCTTAAAGCTAGCTGTTTATTAATAGCTCCTTGATTGAACTAGCAGACATTTTGATATGTATTCTTCCCAATGCAGTGGCAACAACTTAGCGCTTTAACAGCAAACTCACATTATCATAGTAGATGTCAATGCCGTTGGGGGCGACAGATTTCAGAGTGGCATCCAGATCCTTGATTTTCTTGTAGTTGAAGGCTTCGTCGAATCCCAGCTGCTTCAGCCAGGCCACCTTCTCATCCGAGCCGGCGAAGCCGATGACTTTACATCCCTAACGTAATAACGAATATCTTAAAGGTATATAGGATCATCTGCTTGTTGTGCCTTTTTTTCATTTGAAGCAACACAATTCGTCAAAATCAAAAGTAGGGCGCATAACAACTATTGGAGTTTAAGAAAATAGAGGAAACGTACTGCTCAATTTTTGGGGAATCGTAACTGGATACCGGTTGCTAACGTACATCAAAAAAATATGCCCCTGGGCACACTTTTTAAAATCACGTTCAACAGTTGTTTTCTTTCGATCGAAGCCATTTCTGGTGGAATAATATCACAGGGTATTTGGTACCACCCCTATCTACACTTCGAGCAGGCTTTTGCTTATTAAATAGGTAGACCCGTTTTGGGGGTTATTGCAAATGATCCTACCTTTAAACTTGTTAAATGAGTCAATAACTGCAATGCATTTTTCTTCCAAACTCCACACGTACGTAGACCTACCTTGATTTTGGCTATTTGTCCCACCACGTTACCGACCGCCCCAGCTGCACCGCTGACTACGACCACCTCACCAGCCTTGGGTGAGCAGACATCAACCAAACCGTAATTGGCTGTCATACTGCAGAATAATGAAGAAGAAGTAAAACAACAACGCACCAACAAGGAACTTCAAATCTCTATATACAGCAAATTCCATGAGGTTACTAGCCACAGGAGATAATTTGCTAAGCAGAAAATGGTTACCAGTCAAAATGCCACGCCATCTCTATGGCTGGGGACTAGTTCTCAACCAATTGTGTTGCTCAGCACATAATTTGGCTTAGAAATATTTTCTGCCTGTCAGCTACAAATAGTTTGGGCCCAGGACCCAATTTATGGTTACGCTTAAACCGTTAGCACAGAATCCTTACTAATACGGTGGCCCTGGAACGACACTTTAATGTTAACCTTTTCAATAGGAATGCTGAACCTTCGCAATATGAACGCTTAACCTTCGCAATGTGGACGTTACTCCTTAAATGTGAAGATCCATCTTGTTAATGTTAATGTTCGATCTTGTCAATGTGGAACATGAAGGGCCACCGTATACTAAAGCACGTACACATGCCTCATGTTATGGGAAAGAATTCTGGCGTGTGCGCAGTATTTGTTTGTTAACCCAGTAAGCAAAAAATGATGATATCATGGTCAAGAATGGGCCGTTCCGGATTTGGTCATAAGCCACGCCCACTTTCACTTTTTTTTGTGACTGAGTTTTGACTCAGCTACCCTGCATCATCTGACCGAAAGTCGAGATCTAATTGGTCACTTTATAATGTTTTATTGACGGGCAAGAGCCAAGAAGTGGCTATTTCGTGGTCAGCAGAACCAGTTGCGTCTCCTTACCCGGGCATGCCTAGAGTTCCCAAGGCCAGAGATAGCGGCACTCCCTCTGGATATGGCGGTATCTTGGTCAGATTCTTCCCGTCAGACACGGAGTGGCTGACCCAGCCAGCCTCGATCAGCACGTTGGTACCGACCGGGAACTCGGCGTTCTTGCTCTCGATCACCCTGCATCAAAACACCAACAGAATATGACTCCAGTTTATTTTCCAAGTAACATCATACCAAAAGGTTGAATGGGTTTGTCTGAAATTAGATGGTTTCTGTATTAAGATGGGGAGCGTATTAGCTGTAAGCACAGCAACAGGGCACGCTTACCTCAGAGGCAAAAGTTGCTTAAATCAGTGACATTACAATAAAAATCCCCTTGCGAGCGCAACCGTTAGCTCATCCACGCCATAAAATAGTGCTGAAAGTTAGCAAAATTTTCTGCTTTAGTGCGACGTAACGTCCCGAAAGTGTCATCACTTTAAACGCCACCACGCCGACGGCCCCTGTACCTGAAGATTCCTGAGCTGTTGGGAACATATCAGCTGGGAAGGAAAGATATCGTTCCAGTATTGGTTGAATGCACACTCCTAATTAGGAGATGAATAAGGGGACCAAGAACACCCAGTCTTCAGAACAAAAGAGCGTAATAATTTATTAACAGCTCAACTGTTCGTCGTCCTCAGTTGCCTTATCTTCAAACTAAGCACCAATACAAAATATATAAATAACGAATACAAAATACAGAATACAACTACATTATGTTGGTTGTCCAACCGACTAAAAGACTAAAATTTTGAAGGTGTATGTTTTTTTCTTCATTTTTTTCATTTAAATATTATTCAAAACGACATGACGTCCTTTTAATTTTTACCTATTACACGTCCCTTTCTATTCACATTAACATATGAACTAGCCTTGGTCAATGCTCTCGTCGTTATTCGTCCCGTACGCGGTCAATCGTCGGCATATATCCTCACGCGCTATGCACATGCATGTAAAAATACAGCGCGAACAGCGACCTCACGCGGCCACTATTTTTTATGCAAATCAGTTGGGGACGATGTCGAGCCTTGGTTCAATCGTCGGCCAAAGCTTATGTTTTTCTTTACTTTGCGCTAGATTTCCAGCGCACGACCTCGTATGCGAATACAGATAATGTAGGCAGGGCTAATATGTGGAGTGTCCAATCACACCTTGGTAAATCCGGACGTCATCAAATTATTTGCAGCTATTCCGCCTTTTGCGGACGTGACAGGAACCACAGTTTTTGTGCATTGGTGCCGTGTGCAGAGACACACAATGTGTTCGTGTATGGATTATGTACGGTGCCACGTTTCACTATGCAAGTTTCCACGCAACGATCGACCAATAAGAAAACGACATTTAAGGTCAGCTAAGGTTATTAACATAATGAGCACCACCCCCAAAAATTCACATGGACGATTGAACCAAGGCTCGACATCGTCTCCAACTGATTTGCATAAAAATAGTGGCCGCATGAGGTCGCTGTTCGCGCTGTATTTTTACATGCATGTGCTAGCGCATGAGGATATATGCCGACGATTGACCACGTACGGGACGAATAACGACGAGAGCATTGACCAAGGCTACATATGAACCCCATCAGCTCAGTAGTTATTTAGATATAGACCACTGAAAATTGCTCTTTTATGATGACGTCACATGACGTTATGATGACGTCATCATGACGTCCGTTCAATGGCCTAACACATCCCTTTCTATGTAGGCCTTTTTGCAAACTTTGAACTCAATCGGCCCAGTAGTTATTTGAATACAGGCCATTGAAAATTGAGTTTCGATGACGTCAAATGACACGTGATGACGTCATTATGACGTCACTTCAATTTTCCCCTACAACACATGCATGTCAATGTACACACACACTTTTTGAACCCAATCGACCCAGTAGTTATTTAGATATAGGCCTTTGGAAAGTGCATCTTTAAGATGATGTCACATGATACATGATGACGTAATCATTAGGGGCCTACGTCAATCGACGCGGACCTTTTTTTGCTATGGTCGTTGTTTGTGTTTAGTTTGATCAAGATCTGAACATGAAACCGCCGAAAGTGCCGCCTAGAATATACGTGTACAAAGTCTATGTGATTTGGGCTAAAACAAGAAGAAAGAAAAAAAGAAGAAAAATCGGAAGAAAACATACAGATTTTCAACATTTCAATAAATTGCCCCCAAATGTGATTTAATAAGCAGACATTGGTTCCCTATTCTTCAGTTCTCAGCCAGACGTTGGCAGTACGACACCGACGAGGCAGACACAGCGTCAACTGCACTTGCACTTTACACCCAAGTTAAGGGGCCAAGTTCAACGATACCAGACAGCATATTAATCAGATGTCACACACACACACAGACCCACCCACCTTGCAAGTATCATACGAAATTTGTGGGTAATACATAGACACCTCCTGAACTCAGGCAGTCAAAGTCAATAGTGAGGCATCCGTTCGGCGAGGTGTCAAGGAGAGGGCAGCACTCAGACAGTGCTATAATAAGGGTGTACTCCAGTATAAAATTTCCCTCAGACAGCAGTGTTAAATCCCCACACTTCAAAAATCTGTTTAAAATACTCGGAAATCTCACGGGTATTCAGGCTGCACAAAAACAATGAATGATGATTTGGGGAGTCAGGTTGGCGTAGCAGTACTTTCCTCGCCTTCCACCGCTGTGACCCGGGTTCGAATCCCGCCTGGGTCAATATGTGGATTGGGCTTTCAGTCCCTACCTGATTCCGTGGGTTTTCCTCAGAATACTCTTTTGGGCTTTTCCTCCCACCTCTAAAACTGTAATTTCTTCACACATTGTCTTCTCTTTACTGGGCCCATGGGAGATCAGTGGATTCCACTGAATGGGCTACCCAGTTTTAATAAGAAGTAAATAAATAAATAGATGATCAACATGTCATCTTTCATTTTCTTCTAAATTTTCGGTAGGTTGACCGTTGACTTTTTGGAGAAAAGGTAGGGATCATTTTGATCGAATTCTTGCAAGACGGCCGGAGCTTATTGTGCGCTCGCACTTTTTTTTGTACTAATCTATTTTTGAAACGGGACCCTTGTTTTTGGTTCGTTTGAACACCCTATGTTACAACTGATAATATAACAACCAACGGATAACGTATCACCAATCGATAATGTAAACAACAATTGACCGATAATGTATCACTTAACCGATAATGTAATACAAATTGACCGACAGTGTAGAATGTACTACACGATCGATCAATTGTTACATTATCGGTCCTAAACGATTATGTATCAAAATTGACTGATAGTTTAGTAGAATGTATCACATCAGTCAAATTGTTGTTACATTATCGGTTAGTGATACAGTATCGGTCATTTGCTGTTACATTAACGGTCGGTGATACATTATCCGTTGGTTATTATCAGTTGTAACACCTCTTTAAAGAGTCCGTTGTGCATGCTTCCAGTGATGTGTAGCACCTCTACCGCACCGATCAGTTTTTGTCTTACGGAGCAAATAACCTTGGTATACTCGTCTTTGTTCTCTAATACCGTTTGAATTTGACCTCAGTGGTTTTCAGCCTTGTAGCGGTCGGCTTCATTTCATTAACCTAAAAGGGCCGGGTTATTTTGACCATCTCACAGCTGGGGAGGGATTCCACCCCTAAGATCTCGGCCATTGATTGACGAAAAAGTATGAAACTCGGTACATGAATAGCACATCTCAACATAAATTTACCCAAGAAATGTCAAGACTATAGGTGAAAGGGTTTTGGAATTATGACTAATTAATTATTCATATGCTCAAATGGTTCTGCTTTGCGTACAATATATATAGTCAGGTAGCTTATTGGACCGACTGGTCCAAAGCACCAAATTTGGCATGCACATTCTATGAGCCTAAGAAAGATATTCTAGAAGGGGTGACACCTAAAAATAGTTTGGGAAGGGTACCTAATTTGCATAATTTCAAAATGGCTGCCACGCGCTATATCTCAGCATATATTTCTGTATGTTTGTATATATTGTAAGCAAAACACAATTTAAAATCTGTTCTTTGGAGGTTCTCTTTACTCATCCTGCACTTAAACAACATTTTCTTGACGTGTGACATCACTTGATAATCATTACAAGTCAAAAACCCAAAATGGCCACCACAATAAAACATGAAGTATAGTGGTTCGAAATATGGCCGAAATTATACAACTCTTCATTTTTTGTTCATAAACATACTGGGAAGTAGTGGTGATCTGTTAGACGTTCCCCCATGTGGAAATGATCACTGCAATGATGATCATTCGAGATTTTGGCAGCTTCCACCACACTTGCAAAGTGCTGTGCAAGAAAGTCCAGCTTTAAGGCATCTGCAGGATCTTCTTGAGCAACGAGGCTCGGTTTGGCATCCGCATTTAAACAGCTCTCTGCAGACACTGGCAGCCTCTGGAAGAAGTGACCATACCGGCTTCCATACAGATGCAACCTTTGCCCAGCCATATCCTTCAGGCGGTGGAGCACGCTGTTCAGACTTCAGGCTTGTTGTCCAGATGCTTGCCTGATACAGGGCCCGGTTGGAATGCTGCAGAAGTGCTGCCTATATATCAGTGGGAAAGGGAGAAATGTATTGAACTGGTTTTATTTTTAAAGAGAAGAGCAATGCTAAAATCATCACTATTCAATATCAATAATTAGACTTAAACAAACCTGTGTTGGAGGGATCTTTTCCATGGTGCGATTTGCCTTTGAGAATAGTTCCTCTCTTAGTTCGTTCACTGTATGAAGCGGACTTGTTTTATCATACAAAACGCAAGTGAACCTTTCAAGGAGCTGAAATGCAGGACTGGTAATCGTCAGAGCCTCAAACGGATGCTGCGACATTGAGTTGAATGCTTCAGTGACACCAGGAAACGAATTCCATGCCTCCCATGCTGACTTCTTTCCTCTTCCAAGAAACTGGGAAGTAGTATCAGACCCAGTGAATGCATGGAATGGTGGGAGAGCCCTGCATTTTGGTTCCTTGAGCTTGTTGCAGACTGCATTGATGCTAAAGTACTGGATATGTTTCCCCATGCCAAATTCAACCCATATGTCGGTTCCAGGGTGAGAAGTGAGGAGGTCAAAGAACACTCCAACAAGGATGATAATGACATCTGTGTCTACAGTACGGACAAG